TTTTTGAGTGTCGACAAAAATAAGATTCATACTTTATGCTCAAACGTCCAAAACATTGCCTTGCGGTTGGCAGGTGGGTAGGTACTCGCTTCAATCAGCTTACATCCGTATGTATGTGTAAGAGGATTGGGCGTTACGGCAAAGCGATTATATAAGAAGTGACACAGAAAAGAGTTACCATTGACGACGTGATATCCGCTATCAGGTACTGAGCGTCCTATCCGTTATTACCGAGACTTACGATCCCAATAACCTGCAGGCTGCAATGTGCACAATGCCATCTCACTAACCTGCTGTCTAAGCTGCGCCGAGTGGGCTCCTGTTCACACCCCCGACTTTCTGCCGATCACACCGCACCACAAACGCTCCTGCGGCACTCTGGGGTCTGACGTCACACACCACCGGGCGCAGGTGGCACCCGTGACCTGACCTGACCTGTCGGCGGCCGTGCGCCAGTCGGTCGCCACTGCTGGACTCTGACGGCGCGGCGGCGGCGGTGCTAAATCGATCGGTCTCGACCGCTCGCGGTGCGTGCCCGGCTCGGTATCGGTGCACGCCCGGCTCGGCCGACTGGTCGGCAAATCGCGCAGATAATGGCAGCCACGGCGGCTCGGTGGCCGCGCCGGCCAGCGTCCCGCCGCGCCGGGGTGCGTCGACCGCCGACCGACCACGCTCCCGCGGCGCCGACCGCCGACCGCCGACCACCAGCCTCCCACTCAGCAGCCGGCTGCGATCAACGGTAACCGCGCTGATACCGGCCGATTATGGCTACTCCGTGAGATCTTATAAGGGTATCGTTGTATTAGCGTGTTTCTCATTTGTGTCATGGTGTCTCCGTCTCGTTTTTTCTCTCTCTCTTCATCTTCCCCTTTCCGTCGCTCTTCTATGTACGTCTTCCTTTCTACCACCCTTTCTCCATTTCTCCTTTTCAATAAATAAAAAGACCATAGGCTAATGTGTTGCTGATATGGAGGTAGCCTATGAGCAGGTATATGTTTTAAGAACTCATCTATCGGTGAAACCGTTTATTCTTTTTTATACCGTAAAACCGTATGCGTTACCTTTATGGGACATAGGGCATCAGTCTCAATTTGTATATGGTGTAGCAATATGCAAGATGCATTCGATCGCTTGCATTTATGCATGCCCAATGCGCATTGTTGAGGCAGGATACATGCACCTACCTTTGCCACCGGTAGTTGCTGATGGGCGGCGGATTCTATACTCAGCCTCAGCAGGCTTCATTGTCGCTTGACAACAATCGACATGTCTCCAATGTTAGACTGTATGCAAGGGATTATGTCACATTAAGGCGCAAAAATACCATCTCCTACTATTGGGATAAAAATATGACTTAGCAACTGACCCCAATGAGTCCCGAAAATCTCTTGTCACACCCACTACAGAGCAAATCAAATAAAGTCATGTTGCCCACATTATGGTAGAACTAAGCCCCCGGACCTAAAAATAAACTCATTCTGCCTGAGATACTAGCACACATTATGGTAGAACTTAGGCTCAGGCCTAAAAATAAGCTCACTCTGCCTGAGATGCTATGAGAGCATGTATGTGGCGTGACGTGTAAGCACAAAGCGCGCCGCATGGTAGAGGTCAAGCACGACGGAACTAACTATAAGGACTTCAGTGGCAAGTGACTGACCTCTGCAACTCTGCACAGCCTCTGCTGCCATCTTAAGTGACAATTTTATTTAATGTCATTGGTCAATGACCAATCACCAGTCACCCTTTCATGACCAATGGTCATGAAAGATAAAACTGACACTGACATAATAAAAACTGATAAAAGCACTGACAGGCGAGCTATTGTCCAAATTGTATGCATGTATTTTATAGACACATGATACAAGTATGTAGTTATGCATGCATGATGATAGCCAGAGCAGACTTTCCACAAATACCGAACCTCATGGTCATTAACACAAGCGAGTGCCATGGAGAACAGCACATGGCACACGTTATGTGGTCACGTGACACCGGCCTCGGGCGTCATTGGATACGTGAGATGGAATGGAGTGGAGTGGAACACCAATCAGCGAGAGGCACGCGAGCCGGCCAGCTGGTCACGGACCAGACAGCGGACGAACGTGGCAGGTGTTACGCCGTAACACTGTCACACAGTCACACTGCTACATTGTCGCACATGACACACTGTCACACTCACACTGTCATACTGTCACACAGTCATGTAGCCGCGCGGTGGACGGGAGTAACAAACAAGCAAACGATGTTCTGAACTTCGAGTTTTTCATGACTGTTACAATCAGAAATATGTATAAATTAGTGTTACATATTGGACAAAAAACGGTGACCATAAGAAATTGGAATTGAAAATTTACCTGTAAGAAACGGTAAAACGGCTTTATAAAATAGTGACCCTTGGAATGGCGCCGCAAAGCTCCTCTGAAGGGGAAAAGTTTGTTCAGACTAGCATGCACTATGCAGTCACACGCAGAACAAGGACGTAGCCAGGGGGCACGGGGGCCATGTCCCCCTAAAGGAGAAAAATAAATAGATTTAAATAAAAATAAAAATAAATACAAACAGCTGCACCACACCCCAAAAAATAGTGGGCCAAATCAGAGGAGTTTTCTTTTTTGGAGGGGGTGCGACTTTAGGCCGCGACCTGTGGCCCCTTCCTGAGCAAAATCCTGGCTACGTGCCTGACGCAGACACATCCAGGGACACACACACACACACACACACCCACCCACACACACACACACACACACACACACACACATCGTGTCAGGTCGATGAAGACGCCGGGCGTGTGTCCGGTCTCCGGCTGATGGGGCTATTTCGGTCGTCTGGACCGGCCGCCATCATCGACTCGGCAGTGTGACGACCAGCCGGTCCAATACGTCCGCTGACCTCACGTGACCTCACCTGACATCATCCGGTCTCTCCTGACCTCACGTCATCCCATGTGACTCCGGCTGAGCTCGGACGACCTCGCCTCACTCAAGCTGTCAGGAACTGCGCGGTGGCCATTGGCGCTCAGCTGCCTGATGCGCCAGTCGGACCGGAGTTTGAACCGATTGGTTCGCAGCATCAACAATCATCGGACCGTCCTGCGGACCGACTGAAGTGGACCCTCACACATTGACAAATCATTTCCAAAGGTCCACTTCTTTGACTGTCTCAGGCGTCGGCGGCTTAGGAGATACAGCTCTAGTCGTCAAAATTTATTTTCATAACAAAGTGTGGACTGTATTCTGCTTTTCGGAAAAATATAAGCACTGAAATTACGCTTTCACCGGCTGATATAAGCCGACTGCCACACAAATGGTACAGTTATTTTTTTTTACCTTTTCTTATTCCTAGGATCATCTATCAGATTGGCTGACAACTTAGCTACGCGACACGTCATATCATCACGTCATGTACATCAGCATTATCACATCAACAGCGACACGTCATGTACATCAGCATTATCACATCAACAGGCACCTTTGCTATTATCAAGCGCATCCACGTATCGTATGGCTTAACTTCATGCTACCTGTGCCAGTGCCCAGTACCCGACTATACCGTATACGTTTAGATCCCGTTCAAAATAGCTCGATTCGCGGCCAACTTTGCTGAACACCCCCAGTGAGTTGCGAGAACTGCTCCGGTTGTTTTTCAATCGAAAATAAAAAAACACCATTCTAGCGAAAAGAGTTTGTCAATGTCCAAACAACCTACGGTCACTATGTCATGCGGCACAGCATTCTGCAGGAGCTTTTACTTGCGTCATCTAACGGCCGGAACTGTAACTACCGTGTCGTGCGGCACAGCATTCATCAGGCGCTTTTGCTAGTGTCATCTAGCGGTTGCGGTTGAAACTATCGTGTCGTGCGGCACAGCATTGTTCAGGCGCTTTTGCTAGTGTCATCTAGCGGCGGCGGCTGAAACTATCGTGTCGTGCGGCACAGCATTATTCAGGCGCTCTTACTAGTGTCATCTAGCGGCTCGGTCTAGCTAGCTACCTTGTCTTGCGGCACAGCATCCACCTGGCGCTTTTTCTAGGCGAGTTTCACGGCCGCGCGCTGCTGTATTGGTGCGACGTTTGAGGCGAATTCGGCTCGACGCCTCAGCGTTGCGAGCGTGCGTGGAAACCCAACGCGCCGCTGGTATGCCGTAGCTCCCAGCGCGCGTAGCGTCGGGACGGTGAAACGGGGCCTGTCATCCACCGGCTGAACACGCAGCTACCATGCAACGCGGCATTTCTATTGCGGGCGGCGCAACGTCCATCACTCAATCATACTCTGTTCCTCTAGCATTGTCACAGTCTAAGGAACTCCAACGGCAATACCTACTGAGGCGTTGCTCAATGCTTATGCTAACTGCCAGCTTGTACCAGGCCCGAGGGCCCCTGTTTCATTGCACGCCGCTACCCGAGCCGACACTGCCGGCCACCACGGGTTGGTGCTCGGTTTCAATCGAAACAAGACTGGCGCTTTTGCTATATTTCCTTGAAAACCGCATGCCAATGCCTGGTAGCGGCGAGTATCTGCGCGTCATGAAATAAGGTCCCAGGGCACGAAAAAAAAACAGGGGATCTAGGATGCGGCTATGATTATGCAGGCCGCACCGTCGCCGTGGATTTCACTGCTACTGAGGGACGAACCTAACGTTCCGATGGCGCAGAACCCCCTTTCCGGAGAGCAACGTGGCTCGTGACCGCTGCGAGGGCAAGCTTGTATCCCAGTAAGCAATCCCCGCCAGTAAAGGGGAGGGAAGGGTCAGCTCAGCTCAGCACCTGCCTGCACATGCCCCGGTGTCAGGGCGTGAACTCAGCAAGGCAGAACCTGCTGAGCGAACGATGACGACTGTCGCTTCTAGCGTCAGTCACTGTTAAGGTGCATTGACAGACAGCCACTGTAGAAGACCCGACAGACGACTGTGTGAATAAAGCATCTCGCTAATTTCAACAGCCATGGGATTTCACACGTTTGTCAGACCCCAGCGACCTCTCCAAAAATAAATGTCAGTGCTCCTTCCATACCAGTGTCATATTCATTATACTCGGCGTAAGCTATTAAAGAAACAGAACAATACAGTTTCCGGGAGTTCCCTGCCACGGACTAGTTCAGCGAGTCGCATGGACCGGAGCCTGGTCTTGTGAGGCCGTCACCGACAGGGGGCAGCTCAGCAGCAAGGACGGACGGCCGCCACTGCCCCGCTGTGCCGCGGCTGACCGGGTCACCGTGTGTAAAACACTCTGCCCGCCCGGCACAGAACACACCTGATAGCTGGGGCACGTGTTAGGAGATACCACTGAGCTGCTAGCTGGTGTACAGTTCAAGTGCACAGTTCAGTTAACCTGCAGAGCCCGGCGGGCAGCCGATCCAGCGACAAGTCCGGCACACACAGGACACAGGCGAGATGTCAGCATATTAGTTCACCACAACCCACATGGGTCAGCACCGCTAGATCAGAAGTAGAAACTCGCCCCGTTCGACTCGCCCCTCCCTCCCCCGTAGAGCGACCCTGTCTCACTGCGAATGTTGTCTCTGGAACGTTAGAGGGGCGCGGCCGCCGCCCGGCCACCACAGCACAGTCGCCGGCGGCAGGAGCGAGCCGGGCCGGCACGCGCACACACGGACAAGAGATCATCAAAATACAGAGAAATCAGCACACAGTTTGGCACCATACATCAACCTAGCACATGTGTAAACAAAGCTCGCAACAAGTCGCCGCACGCGCCGCTGCCTCGGCGGACTGTCCTCGGACGCACGCGCCATAGACCGGCTGACTAGCGCCCGGTCGAGCGCGAGGCGCCCATAAAATCTACGGCGGCCCGGCCCCATCACTCGGTGCTCACACACACCCGCGCACACACGCACACAAACGCGGACAGACCGGCCGGCAGACGGACAGACTCGGTCGGCCGCTCGGGGCGGACCTCTGACGGCGCGCCGGGGGGAGCGCCACGCGCCGGCCGCCGTCCGGGGCCTACTATCACAGCTGGGGGCGGCCGCCACGCCGCCGGGCGCGCCGCGCTAAGACAGTATCGCCACGCTGCGCCGGTGCTGATTCACATTGTCCATGCTCGACCACTTTTTGCCCGAGCGGAGCAGGTCGGCGGCCAGTTTATCCTCGCAGACGCGCGACATGGCCTCCAGTTTCTGGGCGCGCTCTCGACTGAGCGGCTCCGTGGGGAAACAGAGGTCGTTGGCCTCGGCCAGTGTGCGCAGATGGAAGTAGTACTTGGCGTACACGCTCGACGGCACGTTGATGTTGAACTGGATTACCTCCAGGAACTTGCGCTCCAACTCGTTCCTGCCGGGAGAATGTGGTGTCATTAACGTAACAGAGGTATCGAGCATCGACCCACAGGCCGTCCCTCCTTAGCAAAACGAGCTGCATTAGCAGAACCGCGAAATAAACAAAAACAAGTGATCCCGGAGGTTCGGCTGCAGTGACTGTCCATATACGACATTTGCAAAACATGCTGCTGCGTTTTTAGGGGCCTGAGGTGGATCATTCCCTTCAGCTGCTATTCTTCCTCAGCGCTGGTCCCACCCACCCTCCGTAAACAGCCGAAGTTCCGCTACTTGCCGTGCGGCCCCCAGCCAACTCACATGTCCTCGACGGCGATATCTTTGAGGATCTGGCAGTAATCGACGTTCCAGACAGCCTGGTCGTCCCACACCTTGGAGGCGAGGAGGATGGCACCCAGCACGATCCGGCGCCATGTGCCGGGCGTGATGTCCATCTCACCATACGTCAGTAGCCTGTACGAAAAAAATGGTACGTCAGTAGTCCGGACAAAACGGTACATATCAGTAGATTGTCCGGACAAGGGGCATGTCAGCAGCCTATCGAGACAAGGGGCCTATGAGCATTACGGACAACACGGGACATGCCAGTAGCTTGTCCAGGTAAAGCATACGTCAGTTCAGTAGCCTGTACGGACAACAAGGGACACGTCAGTAGTCAGGACAACACGGGACAATGGGCATGTCGCAGCCAGTTCGTACACGGGACAGGTCACCAGCCTGCCCAGGCACAGCGATACCCTAAACCAACGATAGGAGTTTTATCCCCCTCCCCATCAAAACAGCACAACCGACAGACGATATACCGCCCCTGTAATATAGCGCTCGGTGTTACACAAGAATCTGTACCGGTATCTGACACCTTGATTTACAAGCATGATCAGGTAGGTAGTGGGCGGCTGATCCCGTGCCCGATAACACAGCGCCATTATAACAGGGGCAGGGGCGCCCGCCGCCCAATCCTACTTCCATTGACCACAAACTAGCCGTTAAAGCATACAAATCGCGCCGTTCAGCGTCAGCTAACGCACACGGAAGCCTCGGTATCAGCCGAGAGGCTCGGACTATCAAAATGTATGGACTAAGACTCTTAGAGCGGTATGACTTCTCTATGTTATATGCGGCATAACCTCTATATGTTATAGACCACGGTACCACCTCTCCATATAAACCAGGGTGACGACGAAAGAATAAGATCCGTCCTCTTACCTTTCCAGGTAGACCAGTGTGACGATGGCACACTCGGCCGTCAGCTGAGAGGCCGTGAACAGGGTGCGGATGAACTTGTAGATTTGCCGGTGCTCCGGGTTGTGCCGGTCGTAGTCATCGGCCACACCGTCTTTCTGTGGTGAACAATGGAGGCATGTCATCAATGAACTGCTGGAAACGGAGGGTGAGGTTACTTGACTAATGAGGGACGGAGGGCGGCGCCAATGACCACCGAGGGACGGTCGACGGTGGTGGTATTTCACTGCCGACGGTCGAAGGGTGGTGTTAGTCACAGACCAAAAAGATGCCAGCCTGAATAAGCTAGGTACTATCTCAGAGAGGTCTCAGAATTAGTCCTGAAAGCAAACCAATGGTCAATGTATCAAATTCGTAGGATGAAGTAGCCACTTTCCCAGATCGAAATAGGGTTAATTAACGAAAAAATCGTCGAACAAAGTCGGATTGCTTTGATTCGATTGACTGCAGCAATAGAGTCGCACCAATGTCGCAACCGAGAGATTGGACCGACGTATGAGTGCCTGTTGTCACAGAGCCCCGGCCCCTGCTCTGCTAAGTGGCTGCTGCTTCAACCTATTATGATTCCCGAGCGTGGTCCGAGCAACGGCTCATCACCGGGATAACGACCAGTAGCGGGTCGAAACAATCGCAGAAAACCGGCGCTGACGTCTTCCAACAGACAGCCACGACTGCCGTCCGGACCGGCCGACTGCCAATCGCACCCGAACAGGTGGGGCTTCCGTGTCGACATCGATGGCCCCCGCTCTCCGCCGACGCTCGAGTCCATCAGCCGTGGGCGCGGTCCACCCCCCCCCCTCCGTCGCGTGACGGCGCACCGGAGGCCATTACTGTGATGGGAGAACTGGCGACCGGAGCGAACCGGCTCCCGTCCACCTGCGACTGAGTCCCCGCGTCACACTAAGGAACTAGTGCGTCAAACGGGGGGGGGGGAGGGGCAGGGGGACGGGGAGGGATCAGGTGGACATGGTGGACCGTAAGGTAGTGAGGGGGAAGGGGGCAGGGGGAGTGCCGGTTTCAGCCGAATTCGTAAATCATACCAGATCGGATTGTCTGCCCGAGTCCCCATTGCGTGGCCGGCTGGTTGGGGCTGCACTGCAGTGGTCAAATACTCGCTCTACGTATATCCCGGCTCCGTATTGCAGCTGCGTATTGCCCCCTTTCCTCCCAGTTTGACACAACTCTCCCCTCGCTAACTGCCTCACCGTGAGCGGGTGCAGCTTCTCGTCGAAGATGGGCAGCGTCCGGTCGGCGGTCCGGTTCCGGATGTGATAGTAGGTGGCCAGCGCCACACATTTGATGGTGTTCTTCAGGTTGGGCTGCGACACGGTGCTGTCGTCGATGTAGATCGTGCTGCAGCTGCTGCTCTTGATGATAGGCCGGTCCTCGACCAGCTACGGAATGGCGAAACAATTTGTAAGGTGTCTTTGTAAGGGACAGATACAAAACTGCATGAAATCACGTCCGTTTCAAAACATACACAACAGTGCACAAAGACACACTGTGCAGGCAAATCCAAAAGACAGGCTCAACCAAGCGCATAGTTACAAACATCCCCAAGAATCAATCATGAGGCCGGAACGTGTTAGCTCCCGTCTCGAGAACGCTCGTACTTACCGTGTTTCTGCTTCTGCTTCTACGTCTGATCATCCCATCTGGCGATAGAAAGAAGCAGGCTTTGTCAGCCTCTCAGCACTACTTTTCACTTTTCAAAATCAAAATACTGGGCCTATCAAAACGAAAATAATATCAAAGTGAGGCGTTTAAATAAATAGTGCCTACCGATTTTATCTTTACATGCTTTGTGAGCATACTGCACAGAGGATCTCTACGATCACGAGAATGGCAGTGGGGAGAACCGATAAGATAGACACGGTGTTTCATCTTACTAGACCTCTGTCTCTGTGCCGATAATATCTCAGGCAGGCTAGGCCAAAGTTTGCGGATAGCTGGCGCAGCAGCCGGTACATGCTTATTACACAGTCCCTACACTCACTCTCGATGCTGGACTTGCTGCGCTCAACAAACAGCGGCCCGACGGACGGGTGCAGTGACGGGTCGTCGTTTAGGTCGTCGGGCTCTCGCTCGCTGATGTGCTGCAGGTTGGCGGCCGACTCGTCGCGCTGTCGCGCCGGCTCTCGTCCGTCGGTCTCAGCAGCGCCGGCCGGTGTGCCGGACACGGTGCTACTCACGCCGCCGGCCGGGGTCGAGCCGCCGGCCGTCATGTAGCGGTCCTCGCGCAGTGAGCGGCGGCCGGCCGGCGGCGAGCCGCCCTCGCAGCACAGCGACTGACGGTTGCCCATGGCCTGGCGACTGGCCCGTCACGTCACCTGGCGAGGACAGAGCAGACAGTGAGTGAGAGAGGCGGTCAGTCTCACCCACTCGGCTGCACCGCAGACTGGCATCCGCGGTAACCGTACAGAGCTGGATAGTTCGACACTGGCTGCAGAATATCCTCCAGCATGCGTAATAGAGAAAAGCCAAGGTTCATTCATGTCTTCACATACCTCTCTAGTGGAGTCCCTCACCCCTCCCCCACTACGACAACGAGATAGAAACTCTGGCCTCTGTTCTCGCAATCACATCACAGGGACATGATACACGGAGACGGTCAAAACACAGCCCGCAGGTGGGAGCACCGCCACCCTCTATCAGCTTCATCTGTGAGACCGAGATCGTTCGACGAGCCTTATCTGTGTGGACAGCTATGCGATGATAAGCTGAATCCACGCATAGATAAGCGTGACGTCACAAGTCTTAGCACCTGAGTCCTACTGATTGTGCGATAAATCGATAAAAGTGCGTGCTGTCAGCTGAGTTCACGAATAGTTGGTGATTGGACTGTGCTAGGCCTGACCAAATGACAGTTATATACATAAAACAAGACATCTAACTTAATTTTGGGTCTCTGACCTGATATTGCTGTTTACCAGTTCACCATAGATCTTAAATTTGGGTATGACTTTCTGGGTCTCATATAGACAAACACGCTCGGTTTTTCCGCAAAGCTATAGCTCAATAATCGGCAAAACGGCGAGGGCCGAGGTCGGTTTCATGTAGAACACTGATTGGTCTGGCAAGGGCGGGAACAAAGTTTCAATGCGTTACAAATCTATTTCAAATACAGGTATGAAGGGCATCTTGGCATGTAAGCTAAGCTTGCATGGGAAAATGGCACATCAATTACTTGGGAGTTGGGACTTTCCCAGTCTGCATGAAAGAATCATCTCTTAAATAAAACAGGCCAATGAGGCAGTTAAGTCACTGATAACTTTGGTGTTTTTTATGAACCAAGGTCTAGCTTCAAAGAAGTTTCACATGATTTATTGATAGCTCTTATTCATTTAGATAGAAAAGAAAGCAATGCTGATAATCAAAGTCAATGTGGTGAGTCAATAATGGTCAATGGTCAAGTAAGTGGTTGTGGACCTACAGGTCTGCTAAGCAAGGCATGCTGTAAAAGTAATTATAGATTTTATTTTGCACTTAGCCTTGCCAGAGCTCAGTGGTCAGTGGTGTACTGGCAAATTCTGTTAAAATTAGTAGAACAGGAGCATTCAAGCAAATGGAATGATAATAAGTAGCAGTCCAACAGGCAACAACTCCATTTGTCCATTGTGTGCAATGTGCATGGCATCAAGTTAGCAGTTGCCTTATGCCTTTAAGTTCCACATTTTTTACTGTTTTCAGGTAGGTAAGCAGACCAAATTCACAGTGCTTTCCAGCCTTAACCATTTTAACCTAATACTTACTACATTAAAAAATGCATGCCTATTACCTTATTTATTAAAACATAAGGAGGATAAATGGCTACTACAATTTATCATATATAACTTATTACAATAAAGATACTTAGGTTGGGTAGAATTTCCACTGAATTGGTTAGATCTAAACAAACAAAGTTGGTCCATTTTCCCAGAAATTAAATAGACATGTAACTGAATACTTATATAAGCAGTAAGGCTTTACTCCAGCTGTCAAGAGCTATGAAATAGGGGCAAGTAAACAAAGGTAGTTAAATAACACAATATCAATGTAAACAATGTAACACAACACAGCTAGGTAGATTACAGGAAAATCAACAGACCATAGCATAAAAATAGGGCATCAGCATTGTACTGCAAAACATGGCAACATATTAAATATAACAAACCATAGCACACAACACACAAACCAGGTTGGGATTTCCCACAAGCCATCCTGATAAGAACATAAGATTTCTCTGAAAGAATTCAGAATCTGCACTTAAGAAAAACTACCCTAATTGGATAATTGTTCCATCAATAAACCTTATGTATTATGTGCAAATTTGGGTACCTAGTCATGAAGCAAGCATCACACCTTCGTTTTTACAAACTAAGGAGAGGTGCTTTAACCAGAGATGTAGGTTGCAGGTTTGTAGGTTTAGGCTGTAGGTTAGGTCAGGTAGGATTAGGTCAGGTTAGGTTAGGTTAGGTTAGATCAGGTTTGGTTAAAAAAGACATCTGTGGGTATAGTGCTTCTCTTTGGGCGCAAAAACAAGTGTGACACCTGTTTTATGCCATTCATTCATTCATTCGTTTATTGACCTTGGGTATCGGGGGGGGGGGGGGAGAGACACAAACGCAAACATGGCACATTAAAACGATGCAAGCAATACAGGATAAAACCGATTATGGCCAAAATCGGTTCAGGAAATTAGGTAGGTAGGTAATAGTTTTGCCAGGAAAGCAGTTCAGGAAAACGTAACACACGAAACTGCGACCCTGCAGTCAGCATCCACCCAAAAAAGGTAATCTCTTCCACAGCACCCATCACCTGACACCCTCACATCAACTAGCTCCTGACGATTTCAGCATACTTTGCAGTTTGCGGTCTAGGTCAGGTGCAGACTGCAGTGTGACTGATTGACTGCCCGACTGGAAAAAATGCCTCCACTACGCTGAAGTTCTCGGCGGAGGTGATGCGCCGAAATTTCGGCGCAAGGGTTTATGCGCCGAAATTATTTTACCAAGCCATGCTTAATGCGCCGAAAATTTTCAAGGCTTACTGATGGCTGCAGGCTGTAGCCACGCACTTTTCGTCGAGGGGGGGGGGGGCTGGCGTGTGTGTGTGACTGTCTTCCAGTGACTACTGTCTACAGACGGTTGTTGGCACGGTCGACGGGATCGGGCAGACAAAAGACATCAGCAGGCCATGCGGGACCGAGCACCAGGGTTCGCTATCACAAAATCTCCTGACTCACAAACTCACTGGCATGTTCCATAACGTAACCTTTATTTTGTTGCCCGGCTCTGATCAGCAGTAGTGCCCAGCCGGTGACTGACGCCTGACGGGGCCTTCAACAGGCGTGGTGCAAGCACGGCCGATGGGATCGGGCAGATACCAGGCCACGCGCAGTGTTCTAAAATTGGATATTGCATAGGCGTAGGAACAGGGGGGGGCCAGGTGGGCAAGTGCCCACCCACTTTTCGAGGTGGGGGGGCCAACCATGTGTTTTGGCCCACCCACTTTTTACTCGAGGCCCCTCGTCTCGATTTGAGAGGACGTCGTCACCTTCCAGAATAAACAAACTCGGTAAAAATAAGTTCCACGAATCCCCACGCACGGACTCCAAGGGGCTGTGATGGATCCAAGGAGGCCCTCTGTTCATACTTGTCAGTCGAAGCCCCTGAGACTGATGGCCTGAGAGGCCCTAGTGGATCTGAGGAGGCCCCAATATCCACACTGGTCTGGGGAGGCCCCTGACACTGGCGGTCTGGGAGGCCCCTCTATCCACACTAGTCAGAGGTCTGAGACTAGTGGTCTGGGAGGCCCCTCCATCCACACTAGTCAGAATAGGCCCCTGACACTGGCGGTCTAGTTGAGGCCCCCTACCCTCACTAGTCATAGGAGGCCCCTCTATCCTCAATAGTCAGAAGAGGCCCCTGAGACTGATGGTCTGGGATGCCTATCCATCTACACTGTAGTCAGAGGAGGCCCCTGAGACTGATGACCTGAGAGGCCCTTATAATCACACCAGGCAGAAGAGGCCCATGAGACTGATGGACTGAGAGGTCCTTCTATTCATACTGGCCACAGGAGACCCCAAAACTTTCGGTCTGGGAGGTCCCTCAATCCGGCACCAGTCAGAAGAGTCCCCTGAGACTGATGGCCTGGGAAGCCCTCATATTCACACTAGGCAGAGGAGGCCCCTGAGACTGATGGTATGAGAGGCCCTCATATTCACACCAGTCAGAAGAGGCCCCCGAGGCTGATGGCTGTGAGGCCCTTCTGTTCATATAACTGGCCACTGGAGGCCCCTGAAACCGGTGGTCTGGGAGGGCCCTCTATCCATACTAGTCAGAAGAGGCCCCTGAGACCGATGGTCTGAGAGGCTCTTATATTCATACTGGCCACAAGAGGCCCATGAGACTGATAGTCAGAGAGGTCCACTCCTGTTGAATCTGAGGGGGCCCTCTATCCACATTTACACTTTTCTAGGGAGGCCCCCGAGACTGATGGTCTGAGAGGCCCTTTTATTTATAATGTCCACAGGAGCCCCCTGAGATTAATGGTCTGAGAGGCTCTTCTATTTATACTAACCAGAGGAGGCCCCTAGGATTGATGGTCTAACAGGCCCTTCTATTCATACTAGCCAGAGGAGGCCCATGAGACTGATGGTCTGAGAGGCCCTTCTATTCAAACTATATATAGTGTCTCTTAGGGCCCTATATCGGTGGCTCTGGGGGCCCCACACCGGCGCCTCTGTGGGCCACCACACCTGTGCGTGCATCTCAAGGCTCTATAGGTATACATCTGAAGGACCCACACCGACACCTTTCAGGGCCCCACACCAGTATCTCGGAGGCCGGAGCTCGGAAGGCCCCACACCGATGACTCTGACGACTCACCGGCTCCTGAGAGCACCATGTTGATGTCTAACGGCTCCACAAGGCCACTGAAGGCACCACACAAGCTCTCACTGAGCTCTAATGTCCATGTACCGGCCTCTGAGGGAGTTAAGCCAGCGCATTCATAGCTCCATACCAGCAATTGTAAGGGCTTCACACTGAAGTATCTGAGGGTTCCACACCGGTGTCTCTAAAGGCCACATACCGGCATCTCTGAGGGCCCCATACCGGCGTCTCCGAGGGTTCACATCTGGCGGGCAACCATCAGCGACTGAAGGTCCCACACTGTCGACTCCGAGAGCCCCATCTGCGTCTGGGAGCACCATGCCGTCTCTAAGAACCACAACGGCTCCTCCGTACGAAAGATGGGCGTCTGCATGCCAAAGAGGAGCGGTTCTGAGACAGTAGGGCACCTACGTGCAATAGAGGGGCGCCTATGAAGCCCATAGGGGCGCCTCAATGCGAAAGAGGGGCGCCTCTGAGGCCTACATATATGGGCATCCACATGCAATAGAGGTCTGCGACTGCAATTCATCAATGCCATGGGGGTGCATTCATAAGAAACAGGGGAGAGGCATGGCAAAGAGAGGCGCCTTCAAGTGTCCATAAAAGAGAGACGCCTATGCTAAGCGCACATTGTATGCGACAACGGGGCGACTGTGGGACATACAGGGATGTCTCTGATGACTATACATAGGGCGCTTATATGCCAAAGAGGGCGCCTATGAAGCTAATGGGGGCACCTGGGAAACGAGGAAGACATTTGTGTAAAGCGGGCCGCCGTCCACTAATCGGAGCGCTTGCGGTCCGTACGGAATTTAACACAGAGAGAGCCCTATGGGCGCATGCGGTCTCCGTCCGGAGTCGGTCAGGAATGTCTCCGCATCCGGACAGCAAACGGAGAGCTCACGCACACTCGATATCAGTTGTTACAAAAAGAAAATATGGCCATTGCCAAGCATCACAAGATGGTGCCATGCCAAGGAAATAATATTAATTTACTTTGTCTTGAAAGAGTTGAAATTCAATCTTAAATTTGCAATTGAAAACTCGAAGACGGGCGACGGGCCATGTCCGCATCCATTCCGTCTGCGTTCTCCGCACAAAGTTCAACACGTCGTACTTTGGTACTTCGTCTCTGCGACAGCCGCGACAGCCACTTCGGATGTCGATTGATAACCCGATTTCGAATTTAGCTCGAGGGAGGTCACGCGCGACTTGCATAACGTGACTTCCGAGTCGGGACTGAATACAATTACGCCAATTATTAGCGATATGTGTCCACACAACATGGATGCGGTCCGCACACGATTTCCGTACGGACCGGATGCGCCCACCTAAATTCCGTACGGACCGCAAGCATTCCGCACAGTGGACGGCGGCCTTAAGGGTTTTCAGGGGTCATGCGCCGTTCGCGGCAAATAGATTCTAAAAAAAAATCGGAGGGGGAATAAGTTTTAAAAATGGTGCGGACTTTCCGCACTGTTCGCTTAAGCGGTTACGCCCCTGGGTAGGTACATCTGCCCGATCTCAGAAGCTAGATTTGGAGGTCATACTTGAAAGCAGCCAGCAGGACGAGGCAAAAGTTGGAGGCCCCTGAAAATAGGAGGCCCCCTGGAAAAGGAGGCCCCTTGACAGGGTGGCCCACCCACTTTTCATGACGTTCCTACGCCCGTGGGATATTGGTTGGGTGTGCCGATGAAGAAGAAAAATCCTAGGATGAGAAAAAAGAAAGTAAATAACAAGTACTTTTGCAAAATGGTGTAATGCCAATTTTTACACCAACTGATAAACCAGGATTTCAAGTCAGGATCTTGACAGGGTGTGGAACAAAAGGATGTGGGTGCATCAACTGTCAAGTGACATGTGAACTGGCTGTTGGGAATACATGAAACTCTTTTCAGAGATGAAGTTAAGTCAGTCTTTCATATTTTAGGGATGAAAATATTTTCCCCATTAGGTGTGATTTGCCACCAAAAAGTCTGAAAAATGGAACACTGGCCACGCGGGACCGATTGCCAGCGTCCGCTCACAAACCACACGCCGGAAATACAGGAATCACAATGGTCAATACGCACACGATAGCATACGTTATCTGAACTAGGGGATCCGACAATCCATAACCTCACTCTGGATCGGTGAACTGTTCCCGCCGTGGGAGCGTCGCAATCAGGTTCACTGAACATGACTTAAATACCCTGAGACGAACACGAGACAAGATACCTAAGTGATATTTAAGATGTTTAACTCCCGAAGACATTTAACCCTCGCCGGCCGAGGGGGGGTTGGTGCCACCCCCCGGACGTTTTTTTTCTCGCGATTTACGCCGAAGTACGCCGAAAATTTCGGCGCAAGCCGTCGATTTACGCCGAAGTACGCCGAAAATGTTCGGCGCAAACGCCCAACTACGCTCGAGTTCTCGACGAAAGCGTGCATTTTTTCCAGTCGGGATTGACTGCATTGACTGATTCAGATTGTGATGACCACAGACAAATGCTTCAACTTACAATGTAAGGTGTCTCTCCTCCACTTACAAGCAAAGATGAATATGTATATAGAAGTATCAAATATTCCACATTATTATGGCAGCTAAACGCGCAAATTTATGATCAATGCAAGATCAATGGACACCGCCTATTTGATTAATGAGAAATATCAAAAACGCCCACACCCGTCGGCTTTTCACACACAAGCATTTGTATAAGATTTGAGTCTTGAAGCGCCATAAATGTAGAAGACTTCTAGAGCTGGTTTCTCTATACGGCCTTGAAGCGGATTGAAGCGAATAAATAAAAAAACGGATGAAACACAGCTAGGCAAGAACATTGGGAATGCTGTTTCGAATAAATATAGATATTACAGCGTTTTGAACCTAAAATAAAACTCAATAATAAGAGTTCAGAAAATGCAAAATATTTATGACGTAAGCATAACGGAGCTCGGACGGATCATAGTCACTGTTTCAATGAATTACTTTCATTCATCACAAACATAAGGTTAAAAAGGACAGGCAAATGCCATATTCAATAGAATCTGTGCCGAAAGATGCCTCAAACCTCATAAAAATTTCGATTATTTTAAGATTTTATGGCATCAGTAGGCTAGAGTTCCAAACTCATATGAGTATTAACAAGGTTTCTCTAATATAATAATATCACGCATAATGCGTTGCTTGCCAAAGAAGAGAATGTATGACGTATATTTAGCTTTTCTTTTCTTTGTTACCTGCTTCATTCTTAAATATACCATAATTATACAAACATCATTTTTTAATGAAATAGGTAATATTTAAAAAATCAAAACATTATGATAAATGTACCTTTTATTGAAATGATGCAAGAATAGTAAAGCGCTTGTAAGTGCGAGACCCAGCGTGTAAATAGAAGTTGCGTGATAAGTGATTGTGTGTGGCGAGAGGCTGTGTGTGTAGTTGATTGGGTTATAATAAATTAGATAAGATAATAGGTTATAATTAGTGAACTGTCGACTGAAATGAGCAAAAATGCGTGAATGGAGCGTGGGTATCTTTTGCCCGTGGGACATGCCGGTCTTCACCACGACAGAATAGCCTTCAATTCAAACAGCTATCCATATCGGGACCTTTAAGGTCAAGGTCGCCGACCTGTGTGAGGTCATTCTGGTTTTTTCAAGTTTGTGACTTCAGCGTCTTTCCTGCTCAATTACAGGCAAGTAAGCATCACAACAAATTCTAGAACCTTTGCTATTGCTCAGAAATTTGGGGAAAATGATAATTTTGTCCGTTTTATGTCTTATATTTTCTGGTGTTTATGCTTCTGTCAAGTGCGGAAGAGATTATAATGAAATGTGTGGAAATATGAAAGGCTACTTGGCCTCAAGGGTGCAGTGCAGTGCCGATCATGCTCACTGTAAGTGTACTTTAATTCTGTCTGGTAAGTTTTGGCCATAGCAACCATCCCTGACCGTCTGGGCTGCAAAGTCACCACTTTTGCACACTCTATAAGTGATACAAATGAAGGTGGTCTGTTGACCTATTCTGAGTGGAAGGGCTTGCATAGCTGATAACCATCTTTGTGGCTATCAGTGAAATGTGACCCTTGTTCTCTGTTACAGATGGAAAATCAACAGTACTGCCTCAAGTGGAACAACTTCTCCCAGCACCTGAAGTATGCCTTCAACACAATCTGGAGCAATGACGACTCCTTTACAGATGTCACCCTGGCCATCCAGGGTGGCTTCAAGATGCGGGGCCATAAAATGGTCCTTTCGGCATGCTCCTACTACTTCAAGAAGCTGCTGGTGGTAAGCTTGCTTGCATGGTTGGATACCTGATAACCATACTGCAATGTGTGGCTTGCAGGTTGATGAGGCACACTGGCTCAATTTCCAAATCTGCACCAATCCTTCAGAGCCGGAAAATCTGTACCATGGCGGGCTGAGAGTTGAAAAAGTTCACACTAAACCCAAAAATGACCAATCTGAGCCCACACTGACCTCAGTTGATGATATGAGCCACAAGCCTGCCATCTCCATAGTATGGAAATGAGAAATATGCACCACGTAACTGAAACAAAAAGCATATTACAGTAATATAAGAACACGCGTGTTCGTGATTAGCATTAGCCTCTGACTGGGAAGCCAGGTTCAGTAATTACATTGCATGCTGGTGGGTTTGTTGATTAGCCTCTGCCTGGGTCACAACAAGGGACAACCCACGTGATTGATGGGACCACCTTTGACCTTTGCGCTGGGATAGTCTGTTCTGACTACGGCACACTCACTTAGACCTGAGAACACGTTGAATCACATGTTGATGTGGACGCCCCAAAATTTTAAGAAAAAATTCCTTATCTATCTCGTTTGGTCCGCCATGTCCGTCACCAAGCCAAAACCACATTGCACCGCACCAAATCCGCACCAGCCGAACAAGCCGGAGGGGTGTTCACGGGCACCGCACACTGCTGCGTGCGGTGTGTGCGGTACGTCCAGCAGGCGTGGGGGTAGGGGATGGGTAGGCGGTTCTGACGTCACGGCTGCGTGCGGTGGACGGTCCGCTGTGGCCAGTCCCGACCGGCCACAGCGATCGCTGTGTGCGGTGACGGAAGGCTGACGTAGGGACGCAGTGGGCGGAGCTTCGAGGCTGCCCTCAGCACCGACGAAATCTCGTCGAAATTGCTGTACTCTGCAGACTGGCCCGATAAGACTCCCTTTTTCGGGTGTTGCCTTTGATAGGAAATATGGGGATGGGGTCCAAGTAAGTGAGGGCCGAGTAGGTACCTGACCTAATGCCATGGCAGGTCTCTATGGTCTTTTGGTGACATACAGCAAGAATGGGTTAGGTGAATGTAGGGTGAAGAGGAGGTTTGCTTGTCTGAAGGGTCTGACGAAGGGTTTGTAGGTTTGGTTGTCTTAATGTAGTGTGATGAAAGAGTATTCACAATAAATTGTGTGTGAACAAAGGCTGACATTTATGAATATATGCTCTTATGCGTAGAATTTGTAGAGATGGTAACAGCGTGGACAAACAAATGCTGGGACAAATTAGATTAGTTCAAGGAGATCATGGAATTGACAAAACATATTTATGGTCTGATTCGAGTTCTATTATACTGTGCTATTCCCACTGTCTATTGACCATTTTAATTCCCAATGTTACTCTGATTTCCCATTCTGTCTTTTCCACACAGCCAGCACATTTTTATCTTAATCTGTTCAAGTTATAATTACTCATATTGGAGAGCCATGTCTAACCGTCCAACCTCTGACCATTCATCTCTGTCTGTCTGTGTCAGGCGGACACGTCCGAGTCGCCGGTGCTGATCCTGCACGACGTGTCACGGCCCGAGCTGGAGGCCCTGGTGCACTTCATGTACCACGGCGAGGTGAACGTGACGCAGGAGGTGATACCGGGCCTGCTGAAGGCGGCAGAGATGCTGCAGATCCGCGGACTGTGCGCCGCGCCGCCGCCCAGCGCCAACAAGGTGAGACACTGTCACGGAGGGACGGGCGTCCGCCAACACGGGTGGCTGGACTCTTTGTGGGACTACACGGTCGGTAAGCGGTGACCTCATACGTGATGCAATTGCTTTTGAATGTGGTCCGTTTTTTAACACAATATTTAATTAGCTTGGTATAAAGAGAACAGCTTTATATTCATTTAACAATAAACACTGAATGCTTGTGCTGCGCTGCTTAAAAGGAATGATCTCGAAATAATCGTCGAACTTGTTTATCTGTGGTTTATCGTTTTTTTTTATTCTCTTGCCTCATCATTTCAGGCAAGTGGTTCATGCATCGCATTACTTTGCGATGCATTAACCCTTGTGAACTCAGCTGCTTGTTAGCCGACGTTCGTCATGTGCCTTGCTCATCTCTGACTGCATCCTCTCCCTCCTCAGCAGTCGTCGGCCAGCACGACCAGCACGCCGACCAGCACGGCCAGCCGGCCACTGAAGCGGATCGCCCCTGCGCCGCCCGCCTCCGAGCCGCCGACGGCCTCCCCGGCCGCCAAAAAGGCGCGCAAGAAGGCGCCGCCGTCGGCGCCCCCTCCCCTGGCACCGGCTCCGGCGGACGGCCGGGGCCGCAGCAGCGTCGAGAGCGAGGAGTCCAGAGACACCAACGGCGTCGGAGGTACGGGTCGGAGAATCTGAGAACTGGAGAGGCCGGTTGGGGTGGGAGGTGACTTCGGTGATCCTAAGGGTGGTTCGTGGGGAGCATTGAGAAACGAACGCAAAGTGTAGACGGGCCAACATTGTCAGCAGTTGTCGGTGCTCGTGTCGATGTATCGTGTCCTATTTGTGTGTGTTGTGCCTGTTGTGCTGACGTGTCCGCTGAAGCTTTTTGTGGTTTGTTTCCCATTGTCTGTGTGCTGTGTCCGCCACTGACGGACGCTGTTCTGTGGTTTGCGTGTCCGGCAGGCGGCAGCGACACCGAGGGCGACGGTCAGCTGAGAATCGACGAGGAGTCCAACGGCCTGGAGCCGGAGACGCTGCTGGATGAACAGGTGGGCCGGGGCGCCGTTTGACGGTGGCAGGGATCGGCTGAACGGGACTTTCACAGGGTCGAGCCACAGTCTTAGCTGAAAACATGGTCAATCACGGTCTCACAGAGCTGGGTTGGGATTGTGACGTATCTGCAGACGCTGGTGCTGTTTTGGTGGTGATGGGCTAGCGGGGCCACTCGATGACACTCCTCCCCTCCCAGGACGCCGAGGGTGACGGCTGGTCACAGGGCAGCGGCGCCACCGAGGACCAGCTGCTGTACCCGCTGCCGCGGCCCGAGCCGGACGCTGACGCGGCACCCAGTCCCGAGGGCTTCACATTCTCATCGCAGCTCAGAAACCTCGCCGTCAAAGTCAAACTAGGTGAGTCGGCGCCGACAGAGGCCATAGAGACGACGCGTGGCAACCGTGGTCACTAGGCAGCGGCGTGGTTGTCATAAACTATTGCTCGGCTACAAGAGCTTCTGGCTTGCGGTTTTTGGGTGGTATGCGTTTTCCCTTTTGTGTAATCTTCTCACTGTGACAAGTGTTTTTATTTGTTTTTATTGTTTACAGAGCCGAGGGTGCCCAATGATCTGGAGGCGGCAATAGTATCATCAATGCCAAAGAACGGTAAGTCACATACTTGTTATTAGTCCCAGACTGTGGCTGAGTGGGTCTCATTTCGATCATGGGTGCGCTGGCGGCAGCTAGTCAGCGCTGAACCACCTCGCGTTACTCTCCGAATTTCCTTTATTAACACTGAAAAACTGTAGGAATGCTTTTATCAGAGGAATCGCTTTTGTTGGAATATGACTTCACTAATCACAGTCATCATTCAAAGCACCAACTGAAGGCGTTTCGGTCGGCGCCGACTATTAGCCGGTTATGTATGGTCAAAAGTGATGGCGTTATCAATCGCTGAGGGCTTGATGTACCGCAGGAACGCGATTCATGCTGCGCCTTTCGTTGGTGTGTAGTGAATGCGCATTGCACGACTGGTAGTTGGTACGCAAGTTGGTACGCATCCATGAAGGAAGTATCCGAATCTTTCAGTAAAGCAGTCTTTCAGTGATCGGCATATGCTCTTTTTGTGTTTAATTAATTATATTTTGGCTGTATCCATTGTGACATTTTGCTATAAGATATGATTTTGCTGGATCAATATGCATACCCACCTATCGCACCTGTTTTGTTTATAAATTTACGTAATCCTTATTCATTCCTTTATCCTATTATGGAGCCATTGTCGAATGGCATTACTGCTGAAGGAGGGCCCAAAATCTGCCTGAATACTGGCTGCACGAGACCCTGTTATGCCATTTTGAATTTTTCGGCTTTGCCTAACTAAATGTAGGTGATTTTAGAATGCCTGGCGGCGGTGGGTAGCTGGGGACGTAGGAGGCGGTTGTGATTGGATTGCTCATTGCTGCTCGGTCGTGTGGCTAACCATCTGGTGAGAAGAAGATGAATGTTGCGTCACTATTCGCTATATACAGAAATGCAGTATCTCACGCGCGAGATGACCCATTGACATCACATCGGTCCTGTCCTCATCTCAGTCCTGTCAACGTCATCCCATTCCGCCAAAGCTGCCTCCGTCCTGCTGGCATCAGTGTGCTGCTGGTAACGTCGCCATCGGCAACGTCCTGCTGACATTTCCTGGGCCTGCTGACGTTCCCCAGTCCTGCTGACATGCCGGTCCTGCTAACGTAACTTCATTCCTGCTGACATTTCAGCCGCACTTCAGCCAAAGCTACTCCAGTCCTGCTAAGGTCGCTTGAGTCCTGCTGACTTCACCTGAGTCCTGCCAACGCCACTTCAGTCCTGTTGACCTCGCCGCAATCCTGCTGACATCCATCAAGTCCTGCCGACCTTGCTTCAGCCCTACCAAGGCCACTTCAGCACCTGCCAACGTCCTGCTGATGTTTCCACAGTCCTGCAGTTATAAGTCGACCTGCCGACGTCACTTCAATCCTTATAACTTTGCCACGATCCTGCTGACATCACTTCAACCCTGCCAACGCCGCTGACTTCTTCTGGGGCTTACCAACGCTACTTCAGTCTTGCTGAAGTTCTTCAATTCTGCCAACGCTTCTTCAGTCCTGCTGACATCACCCAAGTCCTGTCAACGCCACTCCACTCCTGCGGGCGCCACCCCAGTCCTGCCTGGTGAAGTAAACCGGGTCTTGGTATCCCGTCCGGTCCCGGCTGGTTCTGCGGCGCGCTGAGGCCGTGCGCTGCCGCTGCCGACAGATGGCGCCGGCCGCGGCGATGTCGATGACGGCGGCGGCGGCGGCGGCGGCGGCGCCGGCGCGGGCGAAGTCGAGACCATGCTGGAAGAGCAGCGTCTGCTGGCGTTCCACGAGCCGCGTCCGTGTCCGCACTGCCGCCGCATCTACCGGGACGCGGCCACCCTGCGCACCCACGTGGCCATCATGCACTCGGAAGGTGGGTGCCTCCGTCACCGTCACCGTCACCGTCTTTACCAAGCACCACCGTCACTGTCATCATCTTCAGTGCCACTGCCACCGTCTTCTTCGCTGTCACCAGAATGTCTATTACTTTTTGTCTTTATCTCCACCTCCGTGTCCGCCTTCTTCGTCCCCAGCTTCTCCGCCGTCGCCATAGTTTTTGCGCAGCCTGTTAGAGACACATTAAGACGAACGTTCGTGCCACTATTATTCGATTTTATCTTAGCTACGCGTCAACATTTTGTAGATGTTGTGTTGTCCCTATAGCTTCAACTGGGACGATTTTCCCCAAGAGTGTTATAATTCTCCGAAATTGGTCAAACGATTGCATAGGCCAGCGATTGATCGGCCGGAGTCAGTACCCGCACATCGCCATTAAAATTTTTAAGCTTGTTCAGCCCTGTCCACTAGTAAAATGCATAGACCGTTCATGCCGCCCGCCGCCTACGCACTTTCGGGCTTTCCCGATGTGGAATCCTTGTTCAATGCATTCAAAATTGTGTCACCTTGAGCCTGTGTCAGCATACCACCCTTGCCTTTGCCTGTTCGATGTTTGCACTGTCCATGCTCCTCCATCTCTTTCTCGCCCTCCGTGCTTCCGTCCGGCTCTCAGCAGTCCCGCCCTCCTCCCTGTGTCCTGACCTGTCTCCAGCCCGGGGCCGGCGCCGGTGCCGACCGCTGCCCGGGTACGTGCCCTTGGTGGTGCCCCGACCGTTGAAGCGGGCCTTCCCGCCGCTCCAGCGCCGTTCGCCAGCAGCTGGTGCCGGCCGTGCCACACAAACCCGGCCCCGCGGCCGGCCGCCGAAACACCTGCGTACGTCTTTATGAAGAGCAAGTGCGCTCGTGAAAACGATAGCAGTTCTTGATTCGTTCGTGATTCATTATCAAATATGCACGCATGAAGACGTGCAAAGGCTGCTTGATTATCGCAACGTTGTGTATATCCTTGAAACGTGCGCAGATGTGTCATGCTGTTTCCTGTTCCGTGATGTTTCCATGTGTTACGGCGCTGTTACGCGGTCCGTCCTACGGCGTGTTGCCATGCTCGGTGGTACCAGCTGGATGGTGCGCGCTATACCTGGTCCTATTGTAACGTACCCGGTCGACCGCTCTTCGTGGCAGCGCGGTCCGAGAACCCGGACCGGCCGAGTGACGACGGCGGCTGCCGGCCGTCCACCGAGACCTATCCTTGGCCCACCTCTGGCACCCCACTCGCCCGATCCTCATCCTGTCCGGCACCCCCGCTAAGCGGCCACATCTCCCTCCCATGGGGCACCACAATCACTAGGGCCACCTGCTGCGCAGCGTCCCCGCTAGGCACCCACATCCCGCCTTCTTCCTGCTCCACACCCACTCGGTCCATGGCGCCCGTCACGGTGCCCCCGCCATGCACCTACACCCCACCCCCCTTTGGCAACACACACACCCGGCTCACCCCGGCGCCCCTGTCAGACGCCCACGCCCTGCTCTATTTCGGTACCACACCCACTTGGTCCACCCTGACACCCCGTCGGGCGCCTCCACTAGGCAATCAACTCTGTCCCGACACTCAGTCCTCCAACCACAACGCGCTGTTTGGCGTTCTTCTAGGTCCCTGGCTTGTACTTATCGCTGATACGACACTCACTTGGTGTACTCTGACGCCACGTGCAGCATCGCCAGGGACCCGGCTTTCGTCCACCTCAGACTCTGCACTCCCGCGGGCCCCTCCAGCCTCTCCGGCCTCTCCGGCGCCCTGCACATCGCTCCTACCAGACACCCGAACCCAGCCCACTGCTGGCTCTGCCAAGACACTCTCTTTGTCCTCCTCGGCGCCCTGTGCGGTGCGCTCGCGAGTGACCTGTCAATCGTCCGCTTGCACCACGGCATGTATTGGGTCCAACCCGGCGCCCTGCGCGGCGGTTCAGTCAGATGCCTTCCCTCTATCCATCTCTGCCTCACCGCCCACTTTATCCGTCCGGGAGCCCTATGCGCCGGCTCCGTCAGGGGTCCTCGGTATCACGAAACAGACTCGGCCCACCCCGGCGCATTGCTCCTTGGTGTCGACCGGGGGCCGTCCTCCATCCAATTCTGTCACAGCGCCCACTGTGTCCGTCCCGGCGGCCTGTCCGATGGTTCCGTCAGGAGCTCACACCGTAACCACTTCTGTCGCGCCACAAACTCGGTCCTCCTCGACACACCGTGCGGCGCTCTCGGGAGGGACCTGCCCGACATCATTCACTCTCACCTCGCCACAAACTCTGAACTCCCCGGTGCGCTGTGCAGTGTATACGCTGGGCACCCACCCTCCATCCTCCTCCACCTCAACTCCTACCCGATCCACTCCCTGTTCCTGTACGTCGGTCTCACCGAGACCCTCCGTAAGGCGCCATCGGCGGCGCGCGAACGGCGAGCGTCCCCGCGTGCTTGTGCTCCTGAGCAGCAACGTGCGGCTGCGTGTCACTCCTGCTCCTGCTCCTGGCGCCTGGCGGGCTGCTATGGTGCCGCCGTCGCCTCCTGCTCCTCACAGCGGACCGCAGGTGAGTGATCCGTGGCGGTCAGGATCTGATCTGGCACACCCATCCCCAGAGTGGCAGCCATAACACAATGTGACCTCGTTGATCCCCGTGGAGGCTGTGCCCGAAGCCAAATATCCTTTATAATTTGTCTCCAGTCGCGAATGGCAGATTAACCATGCGTTCGATGTCTCGGACGACAAAGATTCTACGCCGTTCGGCCAATCACGGTTCATAACCGCAGCCGAGCCCCCGCTGACCTAGAACGGGATTGGCCGGACGACGTAGAATCTTCGTCGTCCAGGAGACATCGAACGCGGGGTAAGACTACCCGATTGATACCTAGCCGACCTTACACACGTTCCTCAGTTCTGCTGTGTCTCGGATACAAATGCGTATCGAGGGATACTTAGAACGGCTCTCAAGTGTACTCTTCCTAGACGCATATTCTGCCTCTGTGGTTACTCGCCGTACCACGTGTTTGACGACGTTCCTCCGTTTCAGTGCTGGACCCCCTCTCGTGCGCCTGCGGCGCTACATTCCGCACCAAACACGAAATGTATGTGCACAAGAAAAACGGCCACCAGAACAGCTAAGAGCCGCCGCTGTGGGAAGCTCGCCAGGGCGACACTGAGCGGCGTGTCGGCCTGCGGGTCTGAGTGCCCCGGACGGCCGGTCTTCCCGGGACCGATCTTGGTGCCCGGCTCGGAACGAACTCTGGTGGCCAGCCCTTGACAACTCTAGTGGCTGGAGGTACTCTGTGAATCCTCGGCGACGCAGTGACTGTGTGTGCGCGCGGCGAGTACCTTGCGTGTGCTCCGGTGTATCAGTGTTGGTGTGTGGCGACAGCCGGGAGCTCCGGGCAGGGCAGACGGCCGCCCCGGCTCCGGCGCCGGGGGCTGCTCCGGAGCAGCTCGAACGCTAGCCCGCGAGGCGTCTAGCGTCGATATCGACTATCGGTACTAGCCGTACTGAACTATCGGTACGGCCAATACCGACTTGGATCTCCGCCTCCGCGGAAACATTCTTATGAAAGCGCGAGTGTGGGCATATATGCGTGTGGCGTGCGTGTGTGTTGGTGCGTGTGCCTGTGTGTTTAGCTGGTAACTACGTGCAGGCAGGATACATGTGTGCATTGGACGCAGCTGTCGGCGAGGAGGTGATGTGTCTCACGAAGCGCGGTGTTGGCTCGCTCAGACCCACGCGGTGGTACGTTTCGCTCAGCTCCAGCGCCGTGACGAGGTTTGAACCGCCGCAGAACCGCCGACTCCCGCGCTCCGCGATCGCGTAGTTCTTCGTTTCTCATTCATTGTCAATACAGCATCGAAACAAATCAGTGTTGAATTTATCCGGGTTACGAGCCGTTCGTGCGTAGTAGCCAGGATGAAGTCCGACTTTTAGCCGCCTGTGTTATCCATCCTTGTTCTGCTGATGACCCCACAAACAATGTAAGAGCATGCTGATTAGCATCCTTTTGTTAATGGTGCAGTGCTAGATGGTTAGCATAAGTGATATGGCTAGTCTTTTTATCAAATGAGGAACAAGAAACTTCGATGAAATTATTGGCAATGAATTGGCCTTATTGGGACTGTCCAATGCACTACGTGTTCAATGCCATGATCCTGCGGCACAGTTGAGCTATACAAACTTCATTCTTTTTCAGTTTTCAAACCAAAGTCTATGTTTTAGATACTGCACATGAGATGTTTTGGTTTGGACGAACAATTTGCTGTCCATACCCGCTGATCCTGTTAGTCATTTTGAAACGAACAGTCGCCTGTATATACTCTTAATCCGTGGTAGTCATTTTGGTTATTAGCGAAGTTGTATTGTATTTTGGTGATGCATCTAACTTAGTAAGATAGTTGCTCCAACAGCAAAGTTGGGGAGGTGTTGGAATGCATGGCTATCGACTTCTATTGACCGGCAGACGGTTTGCCGTTTGACTGTGGTGCAGGTGGTTGGGCCATGGATGAAGTAGTACCATGGTGAAGTAGTAGATGAAGTAGTATGGATAGGTAGAAGGTAATCCATGGTTGGGCGAAGGCAAGCACGACTAAGCTGGGGAGCCTCACGAGCACATGTTGGTATGCTGACAGTCGAACACGGGCATGAGTCACTGCTTGTAACATTTAGCAAAAGGTTGCTCAATCGATTCGTACCTAAGTAAAAGGCAATTTTTTTTAAACCTACGACCTTCCGACCTGTCAGACTACGGCTTGTACTAATCGGACCTGTCAACGGATGAGTAATGGTATTATCCATAGGAAACTATAGGAATCTCGGCATTATCCTTGGAAATAATAATTTAGTGGCGGTGTGCTAATTCACGTCTAGACATTTACTGCGCACAAGTGTCAAAATATTGCATGTGGTGGTGTTGCTGCGCTGCGCATTTCTTTCGGTGGTGAAACTTTGGCACGTGGTGCTGGTCTGGTGATGGTGGTCGCCGTGGAGTTCAGTTTCATCCGTGGTCATCTGTACGCATTCTCACTCACCACTCCATTGAATAAGCCATAAACTTGTATTCGTCTTGGATCATCATTCTGTGCCACCAGTATGAGTAAGTTTGCTGTTCAGATTCTCTTTTAATTTGTTTCACTCAACTGTTTTGATTTAATTTACTCTACAGCTTAGGTAGGTACCTACTTTTTATGTTAAATAATTTTTGGTATAGGGTTTTGGGCCCATCTTGATCTAGGGTTGTTATCAATTATATTTTTTTATAGCTAGACAAACAGCATCGCCATCAGCAGCCGTGCCGTAGTAACAGCAAGCAGCAGTGATTCAGATTGTTGGGAAGGCACATCAAATGAAGGTGGAATCCTACCACGCTTCAGTGTTCAAGGCTGGCTGTCACTATTCACTGCTCACTGCATCTCAATCTAAAGATTATGTTATCTATATACTGTGGCTCACTGCATCTATAGATTATGAGTGTATATGAGTTATCTGTGCACTTATTATGAGTAATAAGTGCACAGATGCTTGTGCATTGGAATGACTAGCATTTGTGCACTTCAACTTTGTAATCATTGTTATTTCAGCGTCAACTATGGATATAACAGAAGGACAGTTTAGTGATGCAGATGATGATCAAACAGCACTGGAATCATCCAACATTTCCAACAAGTAAGGCAAAATGTGATGAATACAGACTCTGTCCCAAATGTTTTTAATGTCTGCTGGATAGTGACTAATGTGTTGGCAATTAGATGACAATGATGACAAGCAATCATGTTTTCATTGTTTCATAAAACTAAGGATCAGCTAATGCTACTAATGTTATTAATTTTATGTATCTTATAAATGTTTGAATATAATGGTATGAATGTTACAGTGTTACTCTGCAGCATTTTGATTGCTCATTCTCACTTGTGTGGTCTTTAAATGCCAGTATATTGCTGCAGCTATTTATACTATTGCAGCAGCTATTTTTATAGAAGGTGGGTAGATTATAGGTATGTAACATACATGATGCAACACAAGTTTTGCTTTTTCCCGTTTTAACCTTGTACTTGTGTTCAAATGTTTGAAGGGCTTGAATAAGTTGTAAAGAAATAATGTGAAACAAATTTAGGAGTCAGCTGCTATGTTGCATCATGTAAGGGCTCCCTGTTTTACTATTCTGACCATTTCTGTTTCTGTCCCAGGCAGGGTGCATTTCAGCCAGCAGTGTCTGCTGTTACTGGAGGCTTGGCAGAACTGAGCACACATGCCTCTGAGCTGTCCCAGGAGGTGTCAAGGGCACCCAAGGAAGAAACATCATTTACAGATGACCAGGACCTGGATGAAGACTATCAGAGTGATGAGGATGCTGAGTTCTACGACTGGGATCCATCCTGCAAGAAGGGTGGGTGTGGCTGCTGCTGATCTCTGTAGATTTCTGTAGTATTGTTGATTCTGGATCAATGGCTCGAATGAGTCATGATTCATGTCTATATCTCTTAGTTTTATAATACAAAATGAAGACATTGCAAATCTGGAGAAAGAACAATGCTTTAACATGTGAAAGATCAAATAAAGATGTGTTTTGCTGCTTGAGCAGTTTGTAGCCCTATTTGTGGCAAGCTGTGTTTGTTGTGTCAAATGTATCTGTTCTTGTAAATCCCTACAGTCCAAATTATTTGTGAGTCTCATCCTGTTTGGTGTTTGAAGAGGGATCTTGATTGATAGAATAGATATGATGCTTTTCAGATTTGACCAAGGAGTATTTGTCTCACCGCGGGGCCTCACAGGGCGGTGGAAGTGCGGGAGGCGGTGGCAAGAAATTCCAGCCGTCAAAGAACCTTATGATGCGCTACAGTAACCGCATCACCCTGGACCGCTACGACGGCCCGCGGGTATCGCACGCCGTCAGGAACCAGATCTCTGAGGCAGCCAAGAGGGATGACTCGGCCAGGTAGGCATCACGCTGACTTGTGCAGAGGTAGACTGTGGAACGTGGGTGTGGAAGTCGGGTTTGTTTTAATGTCTCCGTGGCGGGAGGAGGACGTAGCAGGCCCTATGGGTAGGTATGTCAGTATTATCAGGGACAAAATAAGCAGCGGGCTTTTACGGTTTCATGGTATCGCCGGGGGTTCTTGCTAGCGGACCGTCCTATAGGTACAGTTACACGTATCGAGCAATGCTGCATCTTACACCGGTCAGTGGCCTCACAATGCATTACGCCGGCCCGTGCGCTCTCTGCTCACCGATACACCCACCGCCGTCTCGCCAGGATCCGCACCAAGGACAAGAAGGACCGCGCCACCGTGGAACAGGTGCTGGACCCGCGCACCAGGATGATCCTCTACCAGCTGATGGACCGCGAGTACTTCACAGAGATCAATGGCTCCGTATCCATGGGCAAGGTAGGCAACGGCAGCTGAAATGATAGAACAGATAGAGTGACAGCTAGGAGTGGGAAAGGTGTTCAACTGTTCATGAGAGAGCGAATTATGGATATAGTGAAATGAAGATTGATTTCATACTGTTGTGCTGGTGCCGTCACGGATATTTTCCTCGCACCACTCTCGTATGCAAGGCTCATCCTGTCGCCGTGTGCTGATGCTTTCGCTAATTTCCCATTTTGTCGTTTTTCTCAGGAGGCTAACGTGTTCCACGCCAGCGGCGCTCCCCCGCTGAACGAGGATGGCACGGGCACAGAGCGCGCCGTCAAAATCTACAAGACCTCCATCCTGACGTTCAAGGACAGGGAGAAATACGTGGCTGGCGAGTTCAGGTACTGAACACTGCAATGTGGACGCCATTACAGTCACATAATTTCCAATACTCTGAGTCAGGGACTAATAATGTAGGTAATGTTCTTCTAATCTGTTCCTAGTTGTCGAGCTGTAATATGATTAGATTGCATTCTGCCATAATGCACATGCGTCTGCGCTTCTTTTCACGCCAAAATGTTTGCAGTTTTGTTTTCAGCGTTCAATACATATCACTTCGTTCTTGTGTCGTGTACTGTTGTATGCACCTTTGCAAGCTCTTGACTGATTACGGTCGTCCTTATCCGCTTGCTGCAGGCATCGTCACGGCTACAGCAAGCACAACCCGCGCAAGATGGTGCAGACATGGGCCGAGAAGGAGATGCGCAACCTGACGCGCCTGACGCGCGCCGGCGTCCCGTGCCCCCAGCCGGTGCTGCTGAGGAGTAACGTGCTCGTCATGGGCTTCATCGGCGAGCAGGGACGCGCCGCGCCCAAACTGCACGTCAGTATTAGTGGTTCGATCCGACCGGCCAGTGGAGGGACGCCGGGCTGGGGGAGGGGGGAGGGCGTGTTCCAGGGGTGCATTTAAAGTTTGTTGAAGCAGTTGAATAACAGTGGGTTCGGCTTCCACTAGAACCTGCCTGAGTTTATGCATATTGCCAAAACAATCTCATTTATTTCGTTTCGACTTTCAGCTTCTTCTTTATGAATTCTTAGGTCGGTTTTAAATTGAGAAGCTGGGGAATGTGTTGAAAACGTTTCACGATCTCCGAATGCTCAGCTTATTGCCTATTTTTACGAGAGTCAGGAGAGCGATGGATACAGATCGGGACCGATCGAGACCAGACATTTGGTACGTATATTTACCAGTCGTTCATTGGCGTCTTTCCTGCTCACTTCCCTCCCCCACCCTCGGCAGGACGCGTCCATCAGCAGCTCGAAGGCGCGCGAGCTGTACCTGGACGTGGTGAAGATGATGCGCACCATCTACCACGAGTGTCGGCTGGTGCACGCCGACCTCAGCGAGTACAACATGCTGTGAGTTACCGCCGGGGCGACGGCATTGGTGGGCGATGGGAAGGTGTGCAGACAAAGATGTTTCGACTCTGAGCGACGAGTTCGTTAAGTAGCTGCGCTTAGCGTAGGTGGCTGCTCTCAGCGCAGCGGCGAGGTGTCTGTCTGGCTGTCTCGTCTCTTTCTTCCCGCTCTGATTTACTTTCCCTTCTTCCCTTCGTCCACACACTCACTGTTTCGTTTTCAACGGTGCGGGCGTAACCAGCTGACGTGGTGTCCGTGTCTCTGTTTCAGGTACTTCAAGGGCCGTGTGTACATCATTGACGTGTCGCAGTCGCTGGAGCACGACCACCAGAACTCGCTGTTCTTCCTGCGCAAGGACTGCACCAACATCACCAGTGAGGCTGACAGGGAGGGATAACTTAGCATCCCACAGTTCACACGTGCACACGCAGCTCATATGTTGTGCTCTGAAATATACGGCCTTCGGTAAACTTTGAAATCAAGATAAAATTGCTGATTTAGAGCGCAATATTGCAATAAAATATCCTGCCGTTCACATCCTGCGCTGGGGTTTAGGCTGTCCGATTACCGGGAGTCATTTCATTGGTACTGCAGTTACCGCTGCTCGTTTGATGCGGCCGCCCTCTCCGTTCATTGTCTGTCTCAGCATCTGACCTCCTGTTCCCCGTGTCCGGCAGACTACTTCACCCGCCTGCAGGTGGCCACCATGACCGTCCGCGAGCTGTTCGACTTTATCGTGGACCCCAACATCGGGGCCGACAACCTGGCCGACTACTTGTCGCGAATGATGGCCGTGACGGCCGAGCGCGGCCAGCTCACCAACCAGCAGATCGTCGACGAGGAGGTCTTCAAGAACGCCTACATACCCAAACGGCTCGACGAGGTTCGTCTGGTTCTGTATTTGTATTGCATTGTGGGTCGGTGGTAGCTGCTCGCCACTTGGTCGTTAGTTCCTTGCCCATGAAGCTCGTTAAGCCAGCATTGTGGGCGATCCTGTGTTTTTTTTTGCTCCTGATTCCGGAAATTTTGGTTGAAAGGGTATCATATAATAGCCGTAGCTGTTATGCAATGTGCATACAATATTGCAGTGCTAAAGGCATAAGTCAATTGAAAATAAGAGCAAGCGCTTGCTTCGCTGGTAATTCGCAAGCGAGCGATAAAGCTAGGGCTGGATGAGCTCAGTCAAAAATTTGTAGTTCGGCTGTCTGTGTCCGCTGTTCGTTCTGTCCAGAGTCCGCTATCTTATCATACTGATCACCTGGTCACGCCCGCCTGCCAACAGGTGTTTAACGCCGAGCGTGACATAAAGCAGGCGAAGTCTGGCGAGCGTGAGCTCATCTACTCGACCATCACGGGCATCAAGCCGGACCTGTCGGCCGTGCAGCTGGTGCCCACGCGGCTCGGACAGGTCAGCGAGGGGCTGGGGAGGGGAGGAAGGCAAATTAGTGGCATTGGGATGGGACTGACCAGTGACGGGGAGATGGGGTGGTAGATCAGCGGTCCCGGAGAGAAGCTGTGCCGGTGGATCGGTGGCGTTGGGAAGAGGGCTCTGCGGCACTTTGTGGCGTCAGACGGTTTCCATTAGACAGTGGATTCGTTTTGAGTGTGTGACGTCTGAAGCATTTCAGCATACACGCTGTATGTAACGTCAGACGCTCACTCGCCCAACTCGAGTATTGAATATTTCACGCTCTGTTTATGCCTCCAGACGGCGGGCCACTCTGAGGAGGATGGGGAGGAAGGTGATGCGAGCGTCTCCTCGGGCGAGGAGGACAGCGAGGACAGTGAGGATGAGGACGGCGGCTCAAAGTTCGTCAACTCACGCCGGCCCAGGGACGAATCGCCTGACAGTAAAAAGGTGAGCGTCAGTTGACTGGCTCTGTCCATCGGGTACAAGACATCCTAATAAGCGTGACCGGCTGCAGACAATTTACTAATTACAAAGCAGCCGACAACTTCAGTTAGTTCATCTTGACGATGTTAATTAATATTCGGGAGATAAATTGTTCGTCATTTGTGTACCGAACTCTGCAAATGTCACATAGCTAACGTCTGTGTTTCAGGAGAGAAAGAAGGCCGTAAAGGAACAGAAGGCAGAAAAGCGAAAAAGCAAGGTGAAAAAGCACATCAAGAAAAGGAAAGAGAAGGAAAACAAAAAGAAGTAGTGCACCTTGTTGAGTACTGATTTATAAGAATTGTTTACATATATTGTTCTCAGATGCATCTCTCGGGTAAGCCAGAAGGCGATGGTGTGCCATCACGGTCGCATGTTATCGATTCAGGCAGGGTATGTCTCCTCTCTGACCAGGGGTCTGCTGTCCACTGGGTTACTCAGGGGGCGGGGCAGAGCCTCCGGGGACGATACTTGTGGCCAGCCCAGGCGGGACAAACGGTGGGCTTATTTGCTGCCTGCTGGTCCCCGAGGGATTGGGTTTACCCTAAGAGAACGGTGTGCTATTCAACTGTGTCCAGGCTGGGCGGAGCAAGCTCTGGGGAAGGGGCGGTCAATGGTTGCCCAGGCGGGTTCGTTCTGCTGTCCACTGGTTACCCAGGGGCGGAGCAGATCACATACAATGTTAGAAAGGTCGCTGGCTCCGCTAGCTGAAGGCATGACCTGTGGGTGGGGCATGAGGTGCCTTCCGCACTTTGTGCTATGGTGTGTCTGTGTCAAGGTGTCGTCTTCTTGCTGGGTGTGCGCTCCACGTTAGTCTAATTTATTGTTGGTCCGGTTTTAGCAACATTTTGTACCATGTTCATGACTGTTTTAGTCATGCCCATTGACAAAATACAACCCCAGTGACGTGATTTCTTTGAATGTGGGATGTCTCAACCATTGGTATTAGCTCTTCTCCTTCATGCTGTAGTGGTCGTACTACGGAAGATAACTATGACATATTCGCTTTCTGATCAGGATTACCGACGTTACATTTCCCTAGCGTTCTTCACATTCTGGTATATTGCATCATGTCATTGTGCACCACAACTGATCCCATGTTATACCTGAATCCCAGCCCACACCTAGCACAGCGCACTGGATTGCACGAACATTGAATTGCACTAACACTGGAGATATTGCACTTAGCGCCCATCAGCGGACTGGGCTCCGCAACTCAGTCGGTCCCGGTCCCGATCACGGGCGCTGCAAAAGTACAAACTGGCCCTGTCGGTCATCCCACCGTCTCCGCTAGGCAGTATGGGACCGGAGGAGTCTGAGAGGTCCGCCGCGTATCGTCCGTCCCCTTCCAGCAGTAGAGTACCCGTCTGGCCCCTGTGACTCGCCGCCGCCCGGCACCGTGTCCTATGATAGACCATAGGGTTGGCCGGCGCTGACGGCTTTTCGGCCGCGCTACTGACTCGCTCAGCTCGCACTCCGCGAGCCGGGAGTGGCGCGCGACTTTCTACAGCAGTGCCCCGCTCTGCCTGCCGCTCAGTGTATACTGCTGGTCAGCAGATTCCGCTGGTCAGCACGTCTTGCTGCTCAGCAGGTCTTGCTGATCAGCAGGGCTCCGACTCCGGCTCCCTATCCTGCTGCCACTGGCGGCCGCTGCGCAGCAATCCCTGTCGGCAGGAGTCGAGGTCACACAGGGGCAGCCGTTGACCAGTCGGTTACAGTACTCAACAGCTCCGTGCAGGCTCATCGCACCGAGGCTTTACAGTGCTATTTCTGGTCCAGCGAATGGTCTGATCCGTTAACTAGCTACAATGGGACCTCAGCAGCTGGCGAAACATTCCCATTCTTTCCACAGGTCACACTCCTGTTGGATGTGTTCGGCTGATACGGGGAATGCAGGCAGTTCAGGCACAGATGCATGGTCCTGTCTAGTGACGGTTCACAAAAGACGGATGGGATGATGAGTTAAGAGTCGCTGGCATGTGCTAAGACTATTAGCAGGAGAGAAATGTGGATGGCCAATAAAATATAACTAAGAAGAGCACGAATGACCAAAGCATCTGGTAGATGTATTGTCTAAAACGGTGTGCTTCAAGTTTCAACTGCTTAATGTAAAAGCGTGCGTTTGATCAAACATTTAGTAATTATGCCTCATGATGGTTCAGTGCATGATCCATGAAGTCCAAGTTGGCACGGTCAAAAAGGAGAGCACCGCTACAGATTTTGTACACTGTACAGGGACAAGAGAGCACTGTCACGGATACCCGGGTACCTAATCCATGCACGACTTTGAGTAGCCTAGTACTGGGCCCCGTTTTCGAGCGGATGACGCGGAAGGAAGCGTCATGTACACATGCATTCATGGCATGCCGGCATAATGTAACTATGTGCACATAATTTCCAAAACATGCTCTAGTTAGGGGAAGAAAGCATGCTGGTTTTAGGACTCGAACGCACCCGTTTCAATTTTGTGAGCTGTCTGAGCACACTGTCCCTGCCCATGCACGTAGACGAGGCCGGGCCGTCCCTGGTGGACGTCCCTCGTAAGTTGTGTTTACTGACCGCCTCGCTAGATGTCTCGCTCACCAATTGGGAGGCCTCCGAGCGATCGGAATCTGAAACAGCCACAAGCGCAGCCCTCCGGAGTCACTCGGCCTCCGCCAGTCGGCCGTCGCGGACATCTGAAACCGGGACATGTGAGGTCACCGTCTGGGAACGGCGCTCCGGACCCCGGCGCGGACCGTCGAATGGACTACAGGGTCGGCCAGGGATGCAGATCGGTGCCACACGGTCCCACAATTCGGCCACGGGCCAGGCCAGGGGAGGCAGCTCATTAGCCCTGAAAGCTGGTTTGCAGCTCTTAGGATATCCGCAGGCGTTACTTTCGATCGCGGAACGGGGCAACTCAGCCTAAGCACTGGGTACTGCTCTTATTACCTACTACTGGGACAGACGCAACGTTCAGGCATTGTCTATGGCAAATGGCAGCACACAAAAAATCGGAACTCAGGAAATGTGATTATTTACAGACATGCAAAAACACACCGTTCTTGCATCCAAATTATCTACAGGTCGGCGATATTCAGAGGACGGCTCTCAAACAGTCTACGCTAATTCCAGTCATGTGTGGCATAAAAGGCAACTCTAGCTGTTGAGGCGGCTCTATGAAAGGTCGACCCGGGGCCGACCAGTGCCAGCGGCGCTCTCTATAACTCACCTCTGCTGGCCCCGTCCGCCGTATCAGCCGCCTCCGATCGCTCCTGGGACCCGGACGAATGCTCCGAGCCCGTGTCCTCGCGGTCTATCGCCTCCTCCTCCTCATCCTCTCCCTCTTCCTCCCGGTCCTCGCGGTCCTGGGCCTTATGCACCGGCGGTGGTGCGCCGGCCGACTCATTGTACAAATGTGGTGGCTCCTCGTCCTCCTTATCTGTGCCATTGTCCCTCCGGGAGCGTCGTCGCGCCGGCGGTCCACCCGCCCGCTCAGTGTCGCCGTCCGCGCCGCCGTCCGGCGCGTCCTCAGTAGAACCCGGCGATTGCGCCGCCTCCCGACCTACCGCACTCACCACGCGGGAGCCGATGTCTCGCAGGGCCTTCTCTGTAGAGACGGGCGGGTAGACTGGGATGTCGCCGGCGGCGGCGAGCAGTGGCAGACTGTGCGCGTGGCTCAGATAGGCCAGGTGCGGCTGGCTGAGCGGCACCAGGGCCACGTTACCGTACTCGGGAAGGAACAGCACTTCGCTAGCCGTGATCAGAGGTACGGAGGAGCCGAGAGCGCGCGCTGCCGCTCGTGACGACGAAGACGACGAGAACTTGCCGTCGGAGGATGCGGCGTAGTAGGCGGCGACTCGGGCCTTGAGCGGCGAGTGGCTGCGGTAGCGGGGGACCGTCCGCGAGTTCCGCCACTCGGACACACCGGACCTGGGGACGGAAATGGGACACGATTCAGTGTCCGGTGAGAGAGCATGGGTACTGGAAACAGCTGAGGGTATGGGGTCAGTCTCAAGGCTGTCCGCATCTGCCCGTGTCCTTATCTACTGATACAGAAACAGAGGACACTGCTACATGTTTTGTGAACACAAGCGGGTGACTGCCCTGTGACAACGTAAATGCTGCACGGCGGAGAGGGAGCTGTTATTTGGGCTGATGAGCTAATGAGGCTGTTCCAAGACATGCATGTTTGTCTCCGTGCCGTTACCTGTTTGCATCAGTCCGTTTGTCGCGGCTGGCGCGGTGTTCTCCCGACCAGTCCGGCGGCCCCGTGTCCGTATCCGAGCACGATTCGTCCTCGTTTCTCAGCTGGCGTTCCCTCCGCCGACGGGCGCCGCCGCGCGACACCAGCAGGTCCTTCTCCGTCTGCTTCAGGTACACCTTCTCCGGCTGACACAGGGTAGAAAGAGTAGGGACATAATGGGTCAGAACACACACTGGTCGGCGGGGTCAGAGCACATCGGGCATCGTGATCACGGTATGTCTAACGAAATGGCACGCTGAGGTCTCTAGACACTGAGGACACTAGTTATGGTTTCTAATAAGCGTCTCCAGTGGCACTTGCATGACCCGTTCCACTCGTCTCCCACCTCTCTGACCCGTCCCCACCCTTCCGTGGCCGTTACTGGCCACCGCCGTTACTGGGCGCCGCCGCCGTCTCCTCTCGGCGTCCCTGACCAGCCCACTTACCTGCGGTGCGTTCCATCGCGGCCGGTCCTCGATCTTCAGCGGCCTGGCCCGCGCCTTGGAGCGCTCCCGGCGGCGGCCGTGTCGTGTCGGCGGTGTCTCAGTACCCACAGTGACATCCCTCCGTTGGACCAGCTCGGCCGGCCTCTGGCGCCGGCCCGGCTCCGTCTGTGTGCCGAACTCACAGCCAGAGCTGGTCCTGTCACCGCGGTATTTGGTGGGTGTGAGCACCCGGTCCTCTATGTAGAGCCGCCCCAGGCCGGGCAGCGGCTGGCGGCCGGAGCCGAGCCGGTCCTCTGTCGCGGCCGGCTCAGAGCGGCGCCGGTTCTGCAGGGGACTCAGCCGCGCCCGGCCGCTCGGGCCGTTCGGCCGGCTCGACTCGCTCTCTCCACTGCTGGAGTTGCTCGGTCGGGAGGTGAGTCGGTGTGATGTGTTCGCCGTGCCGCCGCTACCATCCCCTGCTCCTCCGCCGGCCGTCTGCTCGGTCGCCGGCTCTGCTGTCGAGCTGGCTACCGGAGCGGTCGTCTCCTCCCTGCGCGTGGTGGTCGCTGCCGAGTCTCCAGCGGCGCCGCGCAGTCGCCGCCGTTTCTCTGCAGCCGCCTCCTGCTCGGCCTTTCTGATAGCCTCGGTGACCAGCATCTGTCGTCGCTCGGCAGCCGCCCGCCGCTCGGCCGTGGCCAGGCGCTGCCGCTCGGCCGTTTGACGCTCGCGCTCGTTCTGCCGCCGGATGTGCTCGTCGAGAGCGGCCTCCTCTCGCGCGGCACGCTCCCGCTCCTCGCGCTGCCGGCGCTCCTTCTCGGCCGTCTGAGGGACAGACGTTCACTGGTCACCTGACATCAGCGGTCTGTCAGTGGCTCACATCTGGGTACGATAATAAACAATGCATAGCGCACAACACCTGATAGCTGTTTGCGTATATTGCTCATCTGTCTAAAAACGTCCGTAGGTATTTTGCTTTGTGTATCTGCTCGCATACCTACTCCCATTGGTTCTGAAATTAGGTCAATGCTGCGCACCTTCCCAGACCTGAAAGGCCGGTCACCAAGACCAGTGACAGACTTAACCCTAGAACGTCTAGGGGGGGGGGGGTTATCAACCCCCCCCCCTGAGGTTTTTTCGAAGTGCACGCTAAACGGCTTGTCGTAGCGGGCTGAAATTTTCAATACCCTCTGGGGCAACCTTTGCGCATCTTTTGCCGAAAAAAATTGATCGGGTCATGTCAGGTCACGGAGTTATGACGTCATAAGAGGTACAGCCTCCGGCCGACAGTTACCAAACGTGTGCGCCGAATCCCTAGGTTTTCTGCCGGTGATACCCACATTGTTTGATGGATCATGATGAAACTTCCCATGCATGTTGGGGCAAGCATTGGCTATCGTGTGGTGCAAGAAAATTGACCGGGTCAGGTCAGGTCACGGAGCTATGACGTCACAAGAGGAACAGCGTCCGGTACTATTTTTGAAAAGCGCCCGAACCACTATTTTGCTAATTCTTGTCACCTCAATGGGAATATGCAGCAATATTAGCTTCTATAGGGAGCAAATGGACCTCCCAAATCCAAAAATACAATCAGATTTCAAAAATTTAAATTTTGATTTTTCGAATTTCTGCCGCCGACTGTGACCTTGCCGACTTCCGGCGCTCCCAACGCGCCATTTTTAGAGCTAGGGAAACGAAATACATACCAAACGATAGAGAATTGATCAAGGAACACGATAGTGAAGGTTTCAAGTCGATATCTCCCACCGTTTTGCCGCAATCGCTGCGGAAAGTTGAAAAAGTTTGATTTTTTCGGAAAACTTGACCTTTGACCGGTCATAAGTAGGTCAAATGTTGACCTAGGACCAAAAAATATACCACCAATCGCGAGATCTCGTTGAGAGCAATCCGTTGGTTTTTTCCGCTAAGCTCTACGACCTTCCGTTTCGAAACGCCAGGGGGGGTCGTAACAACCCCCCCCCCCTGGTCGTTCGTGTTATGAGAAATGGCCTGGTCGTGCGAGGGTTAAGTGCGGTGTAAATGGGCGCCATGGGCAGTCATTTAAATCGAAGTCGAATTGATAAGAGGCAAATGTAATGGCGAATGCTAGCCGCTTATTCGCTTCTCTTAAAGACTGTGTCTGCATCGATCCAGACTGGAATGGTCGATGCCTCAGGTCGAAGAACCCGGCTCACATTCAGACAATGACTAAGTAGTTGCACAAACGCGGGCCTCTATGAGCCCCCTGCTTACAAGGGATGATCCTGGCGACCTCATTTTAGCGCCATACCGACATGTGATAGGTGGATGTTCGCTGTGTCGATCTGTACACCAGGGACAACCGACGATAACTGCCAAGATAGTGGACACATCAGCTAATGACGAGGGCATGTGCTAGATGAGGCCACGCCAGCCATACCACGGGAAACATCGCCTTTGTGTGGCTAAAATCGGCTTATACCGTACAGTTTAGGCTGTTCACCGACGGAGCAGGGCTATTCACTGCGCGCTGGGGGGGGGGGGGGGGGGGGGTGCAGCCCTGCAGGCCTGGTAGGCCCGTGCGCAGTGGCGAGGGGGACGGGGATGGCCGAGGTAGCCCCGTATTGACCGTCCCGGCACCTTAGGGTAAGCCGGCCAGGCACAGAGTGAATCATGCCATGGATTAAGTGGAGTTTACATGGAAAATAAACAGCCCTTGTCCCTTGATGTTTCTAGGGAAATGAAAATGTATCAACACAACACAGCCTTTTGGCTAGTGTCTGCGACAGGCTTGCACGTATTCGTATAGATGTGTTGTGGTTCTTAGCATTTTTGGGAATGCGCAGCAAATCACAGCCCGTTCGGCGTTCCGGACCGCGAAACACGGACCAGGACGATAGGATGTTTAACCTTTCTGGGATTTAATTACTCACTACGCGTGTGCGCTCGCTTACGACCCACCGAGGCTCATGCCCCGGTCGATGGGGGCGGTGCTGCGGGCTCCGTGCGTTCGTCGTGTATATTTTATGTGCCCACGTGACGCAGCACGGCCTGAACAATGGTCAGCGGTACCCAGTCTGCGAGTGACGCGGTGGAAACACGGTCCAACCAGCTGCGGCGGCGATGGATTGGAAACGGGCACGGAACCGGCTGACAAGTGGTCATTTCCAACGGTAGTTGAGCTAAACGGCTAATGTCACCATGGCCGTAACGGCTTCAGTAAGGGCAAACCATTACAGATCAGATCAGCAGCAAGGAATAATACAAGATTAAGAGGCCTTTTGTAGCGACGTCAGTCGTGACGATGGTTCGGTTCGATCCTACAGGGTGTTTCACTAAAAGTGTCAAAAAGTAAATGCTTATTAAAGATATATAAAATACGCAAAGCACGTGGTTGCGCACGTGGCTTTGTTGCAAATTTTTGGACATTTATGCTTTGGCCACTTAAGATATATTTTACACTCAAACGGAGCGAGGGCAGGAGCCCAAAGTTACTAGTCGTTTTTTTCCTTATACAGAACAAGAACAGGTTATTTACACCGCAACAGGAGCGGTGGATTACACTTACATTTGGTGCTATCAGAAACATTGAAACCGTACGCCGACTTTTCAGGAAACGTTTCACTCTCACCTCGCTACGACCCAGATTATAAAAGTTTCAAAGGGCTTCTTGAGAGGTTTAAAAGGGTTCCTTTGATGCCGGTTCCAGTCCAAAAAAAAGGCGGGTCGCCCCCACCTTTCGGCGGAAATCGTTGAAAAGGTCAGGGTCTTTCTGAGGGCCTTTTAAGATAACAAGAAGCTTATTTCAACATCAGAAATAGCCAAGCCCCCAATTTATCAGAAACAACCGCTGTAACGGCTGTAGCCACCAAGAACTGGCTGGACCAGAAGTTCCGTTCCCGGGCCGAATAATCAGCTGCTTCACCGCCCGCCCCTGGCCAGCGCGAGGCCCCGATCTGTCACCGCTAGCCTTCTGGTTTTGGTCAGTAGCTCTCGCGGAGCTGAGGAAGACTTAAGTCGCATCACTTTTGGAGCTGAGGAGCACAATGCAAGGCTTTGCCGACAGTCTGGACGCTGAAGATGAAAACGGGCTGTGAGGCACCTCCGGACACGTGCCGAAACGGTGCATCGAAAGAAGCAGCGGATATGTGGAATAGGTTTGAGTGACGGTGATATCATTTTTATATTTTCAAATGTCCAACAATCGCGGATGGAATGATGTGCAAATGTCCATAGAAAACATTGTTATTATGTGCATTAGGGCCTTTTACTTTTTGACACTTTTAGTGAAACACCCTGTATATGATCAATTCAAGGATTTATCACTTTCACTTACTTTCAGTGCAAAGCCAGTGGAAAAGCAAAGTTAGCAAACATGTAGATTGGAGATGTTAGCTAACGAACTTCAACAATAATGTCGAGCTTTTCATACGAACTCAACAAACGCGAAACTGGATAGCGTGCTATAATGTCCGTAACGCCGGTCGCACTGCGGAATGACGTGCCTTCCACTTTTCCTACTAATAGGTCCAATGTTGAGCAGCGTGACACTGCTCAGTTAGCCCTCAGTCTGAGACGTTACGAGTGTGTCGGCGCGATGCGGCGCGATGTATCGGCAGTCCCCGGGCGATCGGTGCCGTGTGGGGCCGTCGCCGCCGACACGGGTCGGTGAGAGTCGTTTGTCGCCCCATTGTGTCGTGTGTCAGCCGTGACCCCGCGCCGGTCAGGGTGACAATGACACCAGGTGGTGGGGGAGAGATGTGGTCAGTGGCCCCTGTGACGGATACCGACTGGTGGCTAGTGGGACCCGATCGCTTTGCTGCCGAGTCGCCAACTTCTCGCCGCCACCGTCAACTGCAGGTGGTGGTGGTGTGGTAGGTTGAGGTGCGTTTGCTCTGCTATTGCGTTTGCTCGGCTGGTAACAGGTATCGGTAGGTTGTACTTGTCTGTGGCACTTACTCAGTCCTTACGTTTTATCGGTACCGTTACCTCTGCCCGTTTGACTCCCCTGCTTCTGTGTATCTCTGCCTTGAACTCGCCTGTTTCTGGTTGTCTCGGAGGTGCTGCAAGGCCACCTGTCGCCGCCGCTCGGCGTCCGTGAGACCCTCGGCGGGTGGGGTGGCGCCGGGACCGGCTGCCGGGGCCGCCGTGTCGATCCGACGTGCCCTCACCGGGCCGGAGTCCGTCGCCCGTCTGCGGAGGAATCGAAAGAAAGATAACTGAAGCTTGGCGTTGGTAACGAGACGGGACGGTCAACGACGGTAAAACGAGACGGTAGGAAAACCGCGGTAGAAGTTGATTACAAAACGCTGACTCAAGTTGTGCACTCCACGAGCTCCACGATTGCAAGGGAGAGCGCTGACATCTTTAGGCTACATCTAGTGCGATCGAGGTGGTGTCACAAATCTACCCGGAACGATAAACAAGCGTGCGTTCCATTGGCGAAATGGGGCCAGCTTATTTGTTCCGTCTGGATAAATAGTTCGTGGCGGGGTCCGCCGACAGCCACGACGCCGTTGTCATGACAACCGTGGCCACACGCACGCCGCAGCCGGTGCGGGAAGACGGTACGTCAGTCGGCACCGCGTCCCCTCGGGCCTCCATTGATCCCGGTTCGGCTGAACGGAGGGAGCCGTCACTTCGAGGAGGGAGGACGTGGCGCCTGCCGATCTCGGCTCAGCACTAGGGCTGACTGTAGCTCCATTCGCGGCAGCTTTTATTTCATACACCAAGTGACAGCACTTACACGCTTCGAATCGCAATTTCGACGAATGACTCGGAGGTGAAGTCAAGCACCATAGCCACGTTCCATTACGTATCGCTTAGTAACGTAAATAAGACGGTATCCCAGTTTCCAGCACATCGTACCGCTCCTCTCCGTTCGGCCGGTCACTGCTGCAGTTCCGACTGACCTGGCCATCTGGGCGGGCAGCCGGAACAGCGGGTGTGTCCCGTTGGCGGCAGGCGAGGCGGGGCCCGACCCGGCGGCCACACTCGGTGACCTGTCATCGACCTCGACAGTGGTGCCGTCCGCCGCGCGCTCCACCCAGCGCGGCGCCTCGAACTGCGGAGAGAGATGGTGGTTAGAGGACGGAGAGAGACGGTAGTCAGTCTGGGGAGAGCATTTACCTCCCCCCTTGGCGCCTCTATATGTAGAACATCGTCACAACGTAACCCTCGCCGGCCGGGGGGGGGGGGCGGGTGCCGCCCCCCCATAGTTTTTTTTTTCGCGATAGCTCCGAATGCGCTGGCGATAGAGAGCTGAAACTTGGCATACCTGACCTTTGATTCAAGCCGGATCTTCTGACACCAACCGCATTTTTGGATCAGGTCAGGTCACTGACCTATGACGTCTATGACGTCATAAGTGAACCTCTGCACGGTCTTCAGATGTCGCAACTTCGCAACGCCCTCGCTGCCAGAGGAGATGTCACAGGGAAATGAAACTTGCAGGATCTAGTATCCATTATGAGTCTCACAACTTGCATATCTCGGATTTTTCCTAAAGGTCATATGAGGTCAGGTCATTTTCGTGATCTCACCATTATAAGTCAATGGGGAAAAATGAAAACTGCTATTCTGGCGCCGGGAACGATCTCCAACTATCTCAAGCACACAGAATCGTGATTTGATGCACTCCTTGCAAGGTTAGATGCGTCACTTTTGCAATGTTGACCTTGCGTGACGTCATTTATGACGTCATCAAGGTCATATTAGTTTTTCGTCAATAACTCTTGATCAAATTGAGCTAGCGAGTCGGGAAAGCCACCAATGGACTCAGGAAGACCTGCCGAATCAAATGATATACGACATGACTTCTTTCGACCAACTTCGTGACCTGGGGGTGCTGGCCTGACCTTGACCTGAGGTCAACACCCCAAGTTGACCTGACCCGGACAAAAAGTATATCATTCGACGCGCCTGAGCGAGGTGAACACGATGCTGCCAAAATCGGCGCTCTGCGGCCGTTTTTTTGCGAAGTTATTCACCAAAAACTGAACCGTACCTTGGGGCACTTGACCTGACCTCAGAGGTCACCGGTTGACCTAGGACTTTAAAATCGGGTACCAATCTCTGCGTCTGGTAACGGCGCACACGCTCGTTTTTCTGCGACGCGCGCTAGCTCCACCAGGGGCGAAACGGCGAGGGGGGGTCGTACTTGCCCCCCTCCCCACTCGGCCGGCGCGTAGGAAGAAAACCAATAGGTCCGGCGAGGGGTAAGGGAACGAGGAGTAGTACGAGAAGTAATGAAACATAAAACAATTAAAAGACGCCAGAAAGTATACTGCCAGCGCACCTAGCAAACCTCAAGTTGGCCTTCTTTCAAGCACAGCTTAGCATATAATTAGGTCAATCGCCTGGTGTATAATGTCTGCATCGTAATCCAACCATAGTCAGGGGAAGGAGGCCCAATTTTGGGCCGAATAACGCAAAATTGGGTAGAGCTTAGCAAAGGGTGGTTTCTGGGACAAAAATGACCGCTGAACCCGAATCTGACCGGTGCGCACCTCTAACTAATGTTGCACCACTTCCAGAGCACGTGCAACTGCGTAGTTCTTCTTTTTTGAAGAATGGTACCCTTTTTATATATTTTAAAATAAAACTTGTCGTGTAGTTGTGTTGTATGCCAAAATTTAATATTATAGTCAAAATTCATTGCATAAATGAAAATTCTAGTTAACGCATATCGCAGACAATCTATGACGTCACTGTGACGTCATTTATTCGTAAATGGACGAGAAAATGAGATGTGACAACAAAACATTTAACCTTATTCACAGGATACGCTCATTGGCGGGTTTAAGATGCATTGAGCATGCTCAGAAAATATCTCGCCGTTGCAAAAAGTAAAAATCGTCTGGATGGAGGTACCATTTTGGCCTACAGGGGGCGAAATCCGCGGAGCGTGCGTTTATACCCCAAATAGTTTTTGTGCAATAACTTTTGATACAATGCTTGCATGTCGTCCATTTTACCATCGTTGTGATTCTCTCACCGAGACGCATCGAATAGTATGCAAATTGGCTTTGATTGGTTAAGATTATATTTTACCGCAGTTCATGGGCTCAGGTCGATTATCACGCTAGTAAAGGTTATGATCTGACTGGAAATGGTCATGTAGTTTACCAGTCGCCTTGGCCGATTATCAAGATAATCGCATGGAAAATGCTTTCATTGTTCTTATGTGGTTTGATCAAAAGCTATAGCTGAAAAATTGCTGATGACGTTTTCAGGACGCCACATGACGAAATTCAAAGTAAGGTATAGAAGTCGTTCATACATATATGTGTTGGCGCCGCAAAGCATTCGTAAGGCATTGTATGCTTGCGAGATTTTAGAATTAGATATGTTCTTTACAGGCGTAGTTTTAGTTTATTACGTTGGCATACGTACCTAATAAGGTGGGCGTAAATTTCGTCACAGAGGGTTTCACATGTGTTATGTCCCAAGTTCTTATCAATGTATTGTGGTTATTCATGTTCTTAGACGTCATATACCCGTGCATTGAAGAACACGTAACAACTAACCGGAGAGAATTTGATTCTGGTTGGTTGTATTGATCTCTTTTGGTAAATACATAGGTATACACACACACGCACAGGCGAACACACATAATGTAACACGGCTACTATCAGGAGGCGTTCGGCTGCCGGCCGCCGGCACGGTGACTCTGTGCACCCTGGGCGGTGGCATTCGCCCAGGACGTCTGCCTCGTCCATCCAGCGGACGCGTCTCGTCGTGATGATACAATATGTTCCGTCCCATTCTGTACAGTACACGCCACGCGGCATACGCACATAGGTAGTATCCCGAGTGCTTGGCACCGCCGTTAAGTTGTCGACGCCAACCAGCCGGTACGTGAAGTCGCCGGCCAGGTCGACGGAGCAGAGCGACTGGTCGTTCTGACGCAGGACTCGGATAGATGCACCTCTTCCGATGCGTCAGCCGGCTCTCCCTTCTTCTTCTTCCGCGCACTGCCGGCCGTGCCCTAGGGCGCGGCAGACCGGGGCTGGTCCACAGGTAACGTGATCCGCCCCACTCGGTCGAGGAACTCCGTGACGTATTTAGCCGGCCCCGAGAGCACATCCTAGAGGGTGGGGAGTGGCCCCCAGAGCCGGGTTTGCGTTCTTGCGCGGCCAGGCACTCGCATAGCAGGTGCACGACCGTGTCCTCTTCGCTGCACTGTCCGCAGAGAGAGAGAGAGCTGATGGCCAGGCCAATCCTGAAGAGTGTGGCCCGGACCAGGGGTGAGCAGCCGCTGCGGATCTGCGAGACAGTGGTCTGTCCCCATCGGTCGAGGTTGTCGTGGCCAGGGGTGTTCTCCAAATGTGGGTGATGCTTGGAGCGATCGAGGGTTAGCCGGCCGGCCCAGTGTCTGATGGCGATGCGCGCACAGGCCAGGTCAACTGGGATCCGACGCTGGTCACCTGATGTTGCCGCGATGTTTGCTAGGCGGTCCGCTTCTATATTACCCTCGACCCCTGCGTGGCCCGGGATCCACTGGAGACTGATAGCTCTACCCCCGGCCGCGGCAGAGTGCAGGAGAGCCCAGATGCCCTGTGTCACGGCCGATTCCTGCGCTGCTGGGCCTCGGCTGAGCAGTTGGAGGCCGGACAGGGAGTCCGAGCAGAGCAGGACAGACCGAATGGCAGCGAGGGTGCAGTCCCAAGAAACATTTTAACGCCTCCGACATCGCCGCCAGCTCCGCCTGCATGCTGCTGCATACGACTTCTGCCGGTATGGTACCTTTGATCTTGCTCTCCCTCAGCAAAGGCGGCGGAGGGCTCCTCCGCCGCCTTTCTTGGTACCGTCTAGGGCAGAGCCATCAGACCAGATTGTGAGGTCTTGATTTGGGTATACGACTTCTGCCGGTATGGTACCTTTGATCGTGCGTCCCTCACGGTGCAGTTCGAGGAGGGCTCCTCCGCCGCCTTTCTTGGTACCGTCTAGGGCAGAGCCATCAGACCAGATTGTGAGATCTTGATTTGGGTAGGCGGCCAGGGCCTCCAGGGTTGCAGTCTTCCGTAATTCTGGTGGGTCAGTCCTCTTGGTAGGTTTCGGAAGCTTCAAGCCGAAGTGGACGTTGGTGTTGTACTGCTTCCACGGCGGTTCTCCCTGGTGCAGGGTTAGTGGGGCTACGGGCACTCCACCCAGTCCAGCTTCCTCGCACACCCACTTCCCCACTCGTCGGAAACAGGGTCGATGCTGGAGGCCAGCAACGTCCTCATCTGGCGGCGACGGTGCCGGCACTCCCACCTCCTGGGCTTCCTGTTTCTTCCGCATCCAATGGAGGTGGGCTCTGTAATGTAGTCTAGGTGGCGGTGTCTTATCAATGAGCTTCCGAGCGGGATCGTCCGGAGGGAGTCGCGTCAGGCGTCCATACTCCCGGCCTGCCAGCTCCTTGGCCCGTACTGCCAGCTCCGGCTCTCCCTTCTCCAGCAGCCGCATGCTGGTACTATTCAATCTCTTATGGACTCAGACGGGCGAGTTGGGAGAGCTCCATTTTCAGCTCGTCGCGCCCGTGATCATCAATCTGCATTCTGTAGCTTTGTCTAAAACGGTTCCATGTGTGTTCCAAGAGCATCTGATGGTGTCGAGCCGCATGCTTGTTGAAGGTGTCACCAAGCTTCAACTTTACAGCGCAATCACTAATCCATGCTCCTTTGATACAAATGAATTTTCACTTGCAATGTAGTCCCAAGAAAATGCACTTCACACAAAACAGGTTTATGAGGAGGCATTCGGTTTCAGATCATTTTTGTAGGTACTGTTTTGTTCCTGCATCGTCTATCGTGTGGTCTCGCTTCGATCTTGGATTGTTTTCCACAAATATCTAAGATATTTCACTTTCTTACAAAGGTGATTTTTGCCCTTTTTGATAAACCACAGCTGTTTATTTTCTTTTTTTTTTCTTTTTCTACGCCGCCACCCATGAATAGGTGACCAGGAGTGCGCCCTCCCTCTATCCCAGCGACACACAGAACCTTACGTTAACACCAGACCAAACTTAATATGACAAGTCGCGGCACTCCCTGCTAAGAGTAAGGAAAAAAACAAAAGAAAGCAAACAGCTGTGGAGTGAGCATGCTGTTAATATGTTAACATAAGAGAAGCAAAGTGGTCACAACTGCAAACAGTTAGTGACTGCCCTCCTACACCCCTGAAACGCCCACAGATATACACTCATACAGGGTAATGTTAGTGGGAGGAAGGTGATAGAGGGGGAGCAGTCATACAAATAAAGTGGATGGTTGAAGGTGATCTTTCTGGTCAAATTCGAGCAGGATCAGTTACTGAACCCCTGCAGGGCCGTCCAACTAAGCAAGGCTTGTTGTCGGACAGCCCACAGAGGCCAGTTCCGAGGTGACAAGTGTAGAAATAAAATTTAATTAAAATAAATAAGTCAACAGAACACAATCGGGAGGTAATGTCAAGAAACGCCAAGAACGAAAGACAAAATGTAAAATAAAAATAAAAATAAGATAAATTTAATCAAAATCAAATTAAGTTTAAATCAAATCAAAAAGAAAGAAAGAAAGAAAGAAAGAAAGAAAGAAAGAAATCAGAAATAGGAGGTAACGGGTAATAGAACTACCCAATAACCAAGATGATTTTCAATTACATTATCACACGAGGCATATCATCATGCAAACTGAATTGAATGAATCAATGATACTGGTTAAGAAAGAAACTTTTGGAGAGCTTTTTAATAACTGATTTCGAAGCTGGTACTGTAGAAAGTCTGGGAAATAAAGGCACCATAATTTTGTTCCAGACTCTGGGCCCGGCCCACGATAAAGTATGCGTTTTGTATACTTTGTATGTAAATGATTCATACAGGGTGTTTCACTAAAAGTGTCAAAAAGTAAAAGGCCCTAATGCACAAAATAACAATGTTTTCTATGGACATTTGCACATCATTCCATCCGCAATTGTTGGACATTTGAATATATAATAATGATATCACCGTCATTCAAACCTATTCCACATATCCGCCGCTTCTTTTGATGCACCGTTTCGGCACGTGTCCGGAGGTGCCTCACAGCCCGTTTTCATCTTCATCGTCCAGACTGTCGGCAAAGCCTTGCATTGTGCTCTTCAGCTCTAAAAGTGATGCGACTTAAGTCTTCCTCAGCTCTGCGACAGCTACTGACCAAAACCAAAGACTAGCGGTGACAGATCGGGGCCTCGCGCTGGCCAGGGGCGGGCGGTGAGGCAGCTGATTATTCGGCCCGGGAACGGAACTTCTGGTCCAGCCAGTTCTTGGTGGCTACAGCCGTTACAGTGGTTGTTTCTGATAAATTGGGGGCTTGGCTATATCTGATGTTGAAAGAAGCTTCTTGTTATCTTAAAAGGCCCTAAAAAGACCCTGACCTTTTTAACGATTTCCGCCGAGAGGTGGGGGCGACCCGCCTTTTTTTGGACTGGAACCGGCATGAAAGGAACCCTTTTAAACCTCTCAAGAAGCCCTTTGAAACTTTTATAATTTGGGTCGTAGCGAGGTGAGAGAGTGAAACGTTTCCTGAAAAGTCGGCGTACGGTTTCAATGTTTCTGATAGCACCAAATGTAAGTGTAATTCACCCCTCCTGTTGCGGTGTAAATAACCTGTTCTTGTTCTGTATAAGGAAAAAAACGACTAGTAACTTTGGCCTCCTGCCCTCGCTCCGTATGAGTGTAAAATATGTCTTAAGTGGCCAAAGCATAAATGTCCAAAAATTTGCAACAAAGCCACGTGCGCAACCACGTGCTTTGCTTATTTTATATATCTTTAATAAGCATTTACTTTTTGACACTTTTAGTGAAACACCCTGTAGAAATGTTTAATGGAACGATTTATTCTAGTAGGTTCAGATGTTACAAAAAGCTCTGCAATAGCCATTGGTAGGTTTCCACTAAGTTTTCTGTGCAGTAATAGCAACATTTGCTGTTGCCCAATATCCCTAAGTTTAAGAAGTTTGAACTTCTTGAATATTGGTGCAGTATGTGCCAGTCTTGGCTGTCCATCAATTATTCTTATAGCACGTTTCTGAAGTTTGTCTAATTCATTTAAACTAGTTGGGTATGTATTTGTGTAAATGAAGCAGCAGTAGTTAATATAACTAAGGAAAAGAGAATGATACAGTAGCAAAAGGTGTTTTGTGCCCAAAAGGTATTTGAGCCTATTCATTATTCCGATATTTCTCGATAATATTATTTGGAGTTTGGCTATGTGTGTTTTCCACTTAAGGTCATCATCAATAAATACACCAAGGTACTTAACAGTGTTTGCACGAGTAATTTTAGCACCATCAATTTGAATTGTTAGTTCACAGTTTGTTGGTTGATTACCATATAGCTGATAGTACGTTTTATCAGCATTGAGGGACAACTGGTTAGAAGCAAACCATTCAGCAATTTTAGGCATTAATGTATTTAGTCTGGCTTGAAGTGCATTTCTGTTTTCACCTTCTATGAAAATGGCAGTATCATCAGCATATAAAAGTACAGATATGTGTTCATCACATATGGATATAAAATCATTTATGTATAATATAAAAAGGAGTGGACCCAGAATAGACCCCTGAGGTACTCCTATGTTTACCGGAAGAATAGATGATTGCGTATCATCGATTTGAACGCATTGAGTGCGTTCATTCAAGTATGATTTTAGCATCAAGTATGCTTCATCACATATGCCATATTTATGCAGTTTGCAGAGCAGTATCTCGATATCAACTGTATCGAATGCCTTGCGGAGGTCAAGGTAAATTCCACATGAGTTTCCCTTTGTTTCTTTCCCAGTGTTCATGACAAGCACAATTCTGGATCATTTTATATCGCTAGCCAAACGCACGTAACGACTAAGCTGAACCCACGCTGACTTTCCGTTATTCATAGGAATGGATATTTACTTGAAATAAATAAAAAAATTGTACAATTTGAACTATAAATAAGACCAAAGGAACGATATTTAGCCAATTCAACGCCAACAGTATTTCGATTTAAATGCCGTCGCAGCGCCAGAACACGGTAAAAATGATATAAAAATCATAAAAATATACTATTTCACGTGATTCACCAATCTGAGGCCTGTTTCACTAAAAACTTGCGATTACAAGTGTTTGAACTTTACAATTCATAAGTATTTTTGCAAACTATGTAAAATCGGATTTCACTAAACTTCATCACCAGCGGCACCTCCGATAAAAAGAGTTTGCAAAAAAACTTGTAAACAGTAAAAATGTTTTTAATCAAGAACTACAACATGTTACAGATATTGCTTCTTTTTATCAAATTATGTCTAGTATTCATGTCAAAAAATGCATGAATAAATTATAAATAATGATGCTGTTTCTAAATGGTATAAATGATGGTTCACAATATCTTATTATTGAAAGAAAATAACACGCAAAACATTTGACAGCAGAAGACTGTTGAATGCAATTATGGCGCGCGAATGACAAAACATGACGATATTTATTTATTGCTCATAGCTGGTTCGTAGGGATTGTGCTAAGTAAAAAAGAGCATATAATGACTCAGCATATCATATTTGTTTTAAATAATTGATTGCTTTGCATCATTGCACAAAAAGTAATAAAATTCCGAACGTAAGAGCCACTGGAATTTCGGACCTGTAAGTACAACGTTTTCTTTCAAGTTTTTGGTCTTCGTGAAACAGAAAGTTTGCGATTTCGATGTTTCTTACAAACTTTGTTCTTGTAAAAAAGTTGGTAAATTTTAAACTCAAAATTCATGCTCGGAGGTTTCGTGAAATCCAAATTTCAAATGTTGGTAAATATTTCTTTTAAACTCAAGTTTTTTCTTTGTAATTACACACTTTATTTGTTAGTGAAACAGGCCTCTGCTGTACTACTTCATCCACCGGGGCACAACAAAGTGATGTCCAAGGTAGTGTCATAGGTAGTGTCAGTGTTTAACAGTATACAAAATGAGCCTGTTCTACTTTCGTGAGTGTGTGTCATTTAAATTATCTTAATTTTTCATTGTATTTTGCCAGATAGGATATTAATTTTTGACTTAATGGAAGTTCTTGTGATGTCGACCACGTGGAAAACAAGGATTACTTTGCTGATGTGAAACTTGCATTCTTTGCACTGTCTGCATCGTTTATTATTCCATGTAATTTCGCATTGAAAAAGGCTCCTCAATGGGGGTCGAAATATTTGCCATCATTTAAATAAAAAATACATTTACTCTTGAGACTCTGAAAAGTATACCATTAACTTATCAACCTGAGTAAAAGATAAAATGACTTTAAAGTCCCACTTTACTTCATCCAGTTTGACCAAATTTGTCAGGTGGTGACTTTGACTGTCACGTTCTCAATGTGACTCACACGTACCTCTGGAAAAACGATTTTAGGATGATCCGACTCAGAAATGTTCATAGATCATGTTTAATTATTTTCCCTTCTCTGATTTGCATACGACGGGAATAAAGTTAAATGCTTTAAGGACAAGACGACTTTTTCAACTCATTTATAGGTAAATGACGTCACGGTGACGTCATCGGCTGCCCGAACATTGCAAAACTTCAGCTTTCAATTACGCCATGTGTTTGTAGCACAGGGACAAAATCTCAAAACAATATCTCAAATATCAACGACGTTACACTGCAATTCATTAAAAAGGTACCATTCTCCAAAAAAGATGAACCACGCAGTTGCACGTGCTCTGGAAGCGGTGCAACATTAGTTAGAGGTGCGCACCGGTCAGATTCGGATTCAGCGGTCATTTTTGTCCCAGAAACCACCCTTTGCTAAGCTCTACCCAATTATGCGTTATTCGGCCCAAAATTGGGCCTCCTTCCCCTGACGACCGTCTTATCGGCCGCCGCCGATAAGACCCGTTGAGGGCTCCAGCCGCGACCACGGCGGCGCCGCGGGGACGGGCACGCGCAAACAGGGCGGGCGGGCAATAACATGGGGAGCTCAGTCGGGGAGCGGCCGCGACCGCGAGAGGAGAGGAGTGACGCTGCGACACAGGGACCTACTCCACATTTTTTTCTTTTCTCCCCTCTTTTTTTTCCTACCTATTCGTCGTGAACTCGGTGGCGGCAGCGCCAACGAGGGATCGATCATTATCAGCCAAAGCACAGTATAGTGGGCGCCGGTGGTGCGCCGGCCCGGAGACCTCAAAGCTCTAATAACAGTTAATGATCATCATTCATCAGTAGAAACGGCTTTCCAGCAATTGTAGCCAAATAGCTGCTCTGGCTGGTGCCCTGCGGGTACATTTTCCGGCTAGGCAATTTGTCGTAGACCATTCGCATGTCTCTTGTGATGACATACATGGCTACCGAGCTGGCAAGGGCACACAATACGCCCTGAGGGCTGGACGCTGGTGCCTATGAAATCATCAATAGCCCGCTAGTTCGGCAGCTGAGCAGTGAGCAGTTCGGCATACCTTCTGAACACTGAACAGATAAGTACTATCCCAGTTGTTACGTGCCCGTCACTGACCGTCCCAGCCGAGACTGAGGACCGGAGGATGAGCACTGAGCAGTGACCTCCCTCCGTGTGCCGGTCACGGCCGATCACCCTCCAGGGGCCGTGCCGATCAGACGGATCGCGTGTCTGTTGACCGGCCGACGCCTGGCCCCGCCCCGCGGCGCCGATCGGCTCATTAGCGCCCTACCGTGTGTCGCGTGTCACGCCGAGACAGAGCCGTCACCACACCGGACACGGCCATAGGGCAGTGCCACCGGAATGGGGTCATGGACGCAGCGAGACGGGACCCTGACGGCACCTCACGCACCCCGGATAAGGGTACCTGCCCACCCCGTGCGTTTGCATATTGTATCCAGCAATCGGGGTCACCATTGCGCAGTCGAGGTCAGCGATGGTCGATCGATGGCTGCCCGTGCGTCCCATAAAGTCATGGGCATCGGCTTTCGTTGCCCCGTGCAAGGTAATGTCGATCGAGCCTGAGCGGCTATTTCTACCGTGCAGTGAGCATATGACTGTGGCTGCCCGATGCCCCAATAACCATACGGTAGCTTGACCTGAATGATCTTTTAATACCTTCTGATGCACTAACCACCAACCAAGGCCCACCAACTGCATGTCTCTTCCGACTAACCCAACAAGTCTTTCGTCGGACCCAACAAAGCTCCCTAATGTGACTGCCAACTCATCCGACCGATCCATAGGCCACCAGAGTCCCAACTATCTGTAAAAAATATTGGACTGACCTACCTCTCTCCCTGTGTGTCCCCCCCCACACACACACACATCTCCGTGGTCTGTACTGACCTGTCGACCTCCGCACACGTCTGGCAGATGGGCCGTGGAGGCGCACGGGTCCCAGAGTCGGCTGATACCCACTCCCCGGTCTCCCCACTTCATTCTGTCGGCAGTCTGGGCTCGCCGTCGCAGCTCCGACTCGCGGGTCAACTGGGCCACCTGACGGGCGTGCTGCTGCCGCCTGCGAATGGGTCAGGTCACGGTGGGTCAGTTGAGGCCAGGTCAGGTCAAAAGGGGCTGATTGGGGACGGATCAGGTCAGTAGAATTAGCGTAAGACCGGTGAGGTCACATCAGGTTGGTTGGCGACCGGCTATGGCGGGTCAGCTCACACAGGGTCAGTTGGGGACGGGCCAGGTCACAGTGAGTTTGTTGGGAGCGGGTTATGAAGGATCAGATCTCGGGCTTAGATGGGATCAGGTCAGGTCACACAGGGGGTCCTGACAAGGACAGGTCAGGTAATGCAGCTTTATCTGATACCTACAGGACACAGGCTATGACGGGGCAAATACTAAGTCTTGGTAAGAACACACAGGATTATTCAATCGCCCGTAAACTGAGCAGGTCCGATATGGGTCCAGGTGATAGACAATTGATAATAGGGAAAACATCATTCACTCTTCAAAGATTGCCTATCGCACGTGGAACTATTCTCCATGCTGCATGGCTGTTCAGTTTTACATTACACATTTTAAATAAATTTTTCAACTAAAATAAGTAACCTACAGAGACGAGTAGTAACCTACAGAGCGCTTCGGGCAGGATTATAGTTTTTCAATTTTAGCTCATTGGCTTATGAGCGCCTATTCATTTAAGCTTCAACAATTCCATGAATTCTGGTTCAGTCACAGTGCATGACGCAAAGACCTTCGTGAACACTCCAAATAATGGAAAAGCCACGGTTCAAGTGGAGGCGTACGATAATCACAGCATGCCCGTCATCACACCGTTTCCTTCGTTGAACGGCGGTGCACTAAAAGGTGTGCTTATCGGCACAGGGCCCGGGCACGTCAGGCGGCCATTAGGAGTGCAGGCACCTCCGATCAATAAAGTAGGTATATATGTGAGGCGGCTGCCCGCCCCTCGCTGTGCCGGCCAGGGGTCCCAGCGGTCAGGACCGACCCGCAGCGCCGGTCGTTGAGTCTGTTACCTATCCGACCCGACAACATGGCCGAGGCGCTGGTTACACTGCCTGCCTCCCCAGAACGTACCGGAGCTCCAACTGTTACCCAACATGACGTCGCTATGGCAGGGTCGCCAGGCAGCGAGCAGCCCTGACAGGCAGGGGTCCCATCGACTGCACATCGCGCACCCAGTTTACCATATCAGTTATCGTCAGCAAATGGACGTGCAAGCAATTTGTGAGAAGCTCGGTGCATATGCAAAATTAATAGCCTGTGAGTTTGCTGTTCTTGCAACCTAGGAAACGGCGTAACCTTCAGCAAACGCAGTTCCGGCAGATTCAGGCTCATGTTAACCCTTCAGTTAGCTTGGCTTGGTGTAATTTTTCCGATTTTATCGGTCATATTCGTTCGCCAGTATTTCAGGGCGGGTATTTAAGAACGACACAGCATAGTAACGTGCAATGACCCCAGGTCATATCGTACACCGACTTCCTTTTGTACATTATTCACGAAAATGACGAGTTCTGCAAAATATTCTTTTGGTAGGTACATGCTTACTTAAAACGTGTTCGACATTTCTGCATGTAAGGAAATGTTTTTGATAAGGCTAACAACGAAGATACCCTTATCTATTCCGCTGTTTTGTTCGTTCCGTTCTCCACATACCATGGCGCCCAATAACAGAACGGTTCCTCTCCTTCCGCTATGCGATTCACGAGAGCCTACCACGCTCCCGATGGCGAAGCTGGGAACGACAGTCTAGAGGACGGCTATTTTGAAGCACCTTAGACAGTTATCAGATACGATTAACGGCATTTACCGAAGTTGTATACCTAATGAAAACCATTGAAATTTCAGTTGATAAGTAAAGTAAAACTTCTCATCACGAACTGTGTGAGAATATCTTCCCAACCAGTGATACACCTGCCACGCAGCACTCACCTCCAGGTCATGGGCATGTCGCGGGTGGGCGGCGGGGCGGCCGGCGGCGGGCCATGCTCCGCCACTGGCTCCGGCGGGGCCGCCGGAGCGGGCGGCGGGCCCGCCGTCTCAGCCAGCTCGGCTCTCTGCGGCTCGAACCGGACCGAGCTGAGCGACCCAGCCAAGGCGGTCCGGCTCGGCGGCGGCTCCACCGAGCACCGGTCCGGCTGCGCCTCGCTGTAGTAGCCCGAGGTGTCACCCTCCTCGGGACTGGCGCGAGGGGTGATGGGCGGCAGCGAGGGGGCGCGTCGCACGTCCGACCGGCCACTCGCCTCGGCCGACCACCGCTCGGCCGCCGACTGCCGAGGACAGAGGACAGTCAAACACAGACATAAGGTACAGACCAGACACAGACGACAGGGTCCCCGACAGACAACGGGGCAGGTCAATCCCTTCCCATAGGATGTATGTATGTATGTATGTATGTATTGCGGATCGTTGTGGGTTCCAACATGCAGATGGCTCTTACTCCCACAGAGTCATTCGTGCCGGGACCGCGGTCACTGTCAGACATGCAGGCACTAAACGATAAAGAACAGATTAACCAGTGGGAGCCAGACTTGTGCCGTGACCAAAAATCAAGATCCAGGATCCTCAAGGTCCCACGGCAAATTCAATTTCTAGAATCCAAGGTTTCCAAGGTCCCACGGCAAATTCAATTTCTAGAATCCAAGGTTTCCAAGGTCCCACGGCAAATTCAATTTCTAGAATCCAAGGTTTCCAAGGTCCCACAGCAAATTCAATTTCTAGAATCCAAGGTTTCCAAGGTCCCACGGCAAATTCAATTTCTAGAATCCAAGGTTTCCAAGGTCCCACGGCAAATTCAATTTCTAGAATCCAAGGTTTCCAAGGTCCCACAGCAAATTCAATTTCTAGAATCCAAGGTTTCCAAGGTCCCACGGCAAATTCAATTTCTAAAATCCAAGGTTTCCAAGGTCCCACGGCAAACTCAATTTCTAGAATCCAAGGTTTCCAAGGTCCCACGGCAAATATACATTGCAGGATCCACAGTCCCCAAGGTCCCACGACAAGAATGCATTGCAGGATCCACAGTCCCTAGGGTCCCACGACAAGCGTGAATTTCAGGATCCACAGTCCCCAAGATCCCATGATAAGTATACACTTCAGAGTTCAGGGTCCACAGTCCTCAAGGTCCCACGGCAAGAATACATCTCAGGATCCAAATTATTCAGGGTCCCACAACAAGAACTTAAACTAGCATTCTGATTAGCAGGCTTACTTCTAAATATTCTGCCAACGGATGCCCAGCAACATTGAAAGGGGCAGAACCTATGCAAACCTGTGGTGGTTTTATCATTTACCAACATACTACATAGGTAGGGGGAGTTTCAACACAACTCAAAGTTAAAGATGAATCATGATATCAATCTCTCCTCCTTTAGCCGGACAAATTCATAAAAATATAGGTAGGTGATACTGTGATAGGTACCTGGCATTTTGTACTGTCATGTTCCTTTCAAATCAATCTTACCTGATCATTACAATTAGGAATGTAGGATAGCACCTTACAGTTATTGAAGACAGAAATCCAAGTGCCTATTCTTTCAGGCAAGATAAAAAACCAGAAATAAAACCTACACGCTTCATAATGGAAAAATTGAATTGGATAGGTATATGTTTTCGATTTTCTGCACATTCAGTAATCAGTTACATAATACCTAGAGCTCTGTTCGCACCCCATTTATTTATCAGCAGGCTGCGACCATGCTGCTAACTTCTTGGCTCCTCATTGGTCGAATTCAAGTGGTCTATTCGTTAGACCAATGAGAGGCCAAGCCGCGCCAGCAATAACCGACAGCACGCTGATATAAAAATGTAACGGAAGTTGGCACAGATTCAGCACAGATTCAGCACAGCACAGATTCGGTAGGGGGAAAAAAGGCCCTGGTAGAGGGAAACCTTTATGACCCGTTTTCCCCTAGAAATGACGTCACAAAGTGGTAAAACTGGGTATCAATCGAAAGCTCTCGTTTACCCAGACACAGTCCTGCAGGAAAATTTCACTTTTTCGCTGTTGACCAATGAGAGGCCGAGAAACGCACGCAGGCTGCTGACGTAGGCTGCCGTGCGATTACTATGGGCAACCACAAAAGTGAGATATTTCTTCTTTTAATGGGGCTACAAAGTGATCTAAAACGCAGACAAAAAAGTTACCGGCACTACAAAACCACTGCCACCATCCATACGCTGGCTGATGGACGAGATTGTTGCCTAGCAACGGAGACCACGTGAATTTGTCCAATAGGAGCTCGAGTCGCGCCAGCAGTGTGTGACGTAGGCTGCTGTTATAACCGCAGAGTTCGTGCGGTCGCTGTGGGCCAACCGCAGCGAAGGCGCGGCCGTTGGGCGCGCCCCGCGCCGCTGTCACACGTGCGCCAAACAAGCTGAGCAATGTCCCTTTTGATTGTCGCTTAGCAGTGGAGACCACGGTCACGACGTACTTTTGGCGTACTTTTGTCTGCAGCCCCATCCGTTAGCTGCGTAGGTTTCATGAAAGTAATCTTGGGTTTCATGGCTCGACGCTAGTGACCTCTATATTGAACTTCATCAACGCGCTAGCGACATCTCGCAGGAGCCAAAAGGACTTGGCATTATGCAGTGAATCATTCAAACTTTGCAAATCATCGGCAACTTTGCCGAGAACATAGGCGGCGGAATGGGGAGGGCACCGGGGCACCGTGCCCCCTTTGATTTTGACATTTTTACATAAGCCCTATGGGCGTTGCATGGAAAGAATTTAGAATGGGACAAAAGGTCGGTAGTGCCCCCCCCCCCTTCATTGAAGGTGTTCCGCCGCTACTGCCCGAGAACGCCGATGTTCCTTTCGCACCGGGCGTCGGTTCATCACAGGTGTTGGTAGGGCTCGAATGGCACAGTCAAATAGCACAGCCATTCTCCCTTAATAAGCACTACCCCCTAGCCCTCGCCACCGAGAAGATGGGGTTCGGGTGTCGGCCTCGACGTTTCTTTTTAAGGTAATTGCTCGGAAGGCGCTGGTATAGAGATGAAAGCTGGCGCACTTGAACATTAAAGACGGATCTTCACACCGACCACATTATTAGGTCAGGTCAGGTTACTGACTTGGGACGTCGTAAGTGAACTTCTGCACGGCCCTAAAATGTCGCAATTTAGTCAGAAATGGCGAGGGGCGGGGAGGGCAGAGTCCATCTACCCTCCCCCTAAACGGCATCTGATGAAGAAAACCGATAGGTTCGGCGAGAATTAAAAATGCCCTAATTATTGCCGAGTCTAGGCAGTACCATGCCCACGATCACGACACCCATCTGTTCATATGCCCAACGGTGAATAGCGCGTGTCAGCCTGTGTCCGGCTGTTATTGCCTGCGGTTACAGGTGCGTCATCAACGTAACAAAGAGGTACGACGCTTGTGATATCTATCCTGAAGCACCATGAAATGTGACATCCGTAAAATGTACAGTAGAATAGTTAGTCATTGCCCATGTAGAACACATTTATGGTGAGTGGTGACATTTATTTCGAGATAACAAATTTAACGAGAAGGATAAGGCTATGTACCCTTATCCACATGGCCACATGCGAACAAAACAACGTCACACAACGAATCAATGCCAAAAAATTAAAGGCATTTGGCCACACTGCAGCGCTCGTCTGCGACGAGCGCCAGGCCTCCTGCTGGCAGGCCAGCGAGACGGGTTCCGAAACTCAGGGACCACAGCCCGGGTCGTCGAAACCATCAGGCAGGGCGAGGGAGGATGGAAGATGAGCGAGCATATCGGCGCGATAGGCTTCAGTCAATTGCTGAGTGGGACCGAGGGCGTCCGTCCGTTGAAGACAGGTGGTCGACCGACTGCAAACAGCGTGCGGCGGTCTTCTCAAGGCTGTCCGATGGGCCGCTGGCCCAAAGCAGCGATAAATCACCTGCCAAGAAAACAAGGGATCAGAAAATTGACTCCCTCCTTTTAAGTCCAAAATGCTTTTTGCTCAAGCACCTCAGGGTCAGAGCCTCAGAGGAAGCAGTAATAGAGGCCTTCAGCAACCTCACCAAGCTATTCAGAGTGATAACAGGATGATGCCTCAGCCCTCAGGTCTGAAGACTTTACCGGACAGCTGGCGGAAGGCATTTTCCAGCAAATGGACAAAGACCTGCAGTAAATGTTCTCATGAGCATGTGCCATATTTTTGTTTGGATTGATGAGAACTGATCATTCCATATGCAAACCAGTCCGTGCAAGGTTCTGAACAACTTTTTATAATTTCATCATTAAAAATCAACTTGAATATTAAAAATTGTGGCACATAAGTAGGCTTTCCAGCTTCACGGTCCGGGTTACACATCACCAACAATCACCACATGTACGAGTGCTATGAATTCAGTGCCTTCTTGGGAATATTTTCCTATATTTAAGATAAAAAATTACATGGATAGGTATGCCAAGATAAAACACAAGGCAATAACAATAATTTGAAGGAAGAAACAGCAAAAGTATCACCACACAGTACCTACTTATAATAAATAACTGTGAACATAAATTGGGAAATAAAATGACAATATTGAGTGGCCAAGTATTTTAATCCTTACAAACTTCAGGGGACAGCAAATCTAATGAGGCAAAATATTGCATTTTAGCACACATATTCTGACACAATCAAACACTAAATTGAAATGCTCTTCTTTGAAGTAGGTACTCCAAAACAAAAACAAAAACGCAGGTAAAATCGTTTACAAATAGAAAATGAACGTTCTATGCCTGCCACCTATGGCTGAACAAATAAACAGCATATAAAATTAAATACCTAACACAAAAAATAAATTTTCAAAACCGAATATAATCACAACATACCTATGTGAAACAATAAACACACAAAACAGTGCGGAGAGCATTTGTTTATGTGCGCCACCAATGTCAGTACAGCATCATATATGTCTCTTTCACGTAGCACGTAGCTTGCAGTGATGACGTCATGTCCCGTGACGTAAATCGACCGCCGACGTCATAAGTCTGCTGATAAATAAACGGGGTGCGAACAGAGCTCTGGATAAAAACTCAAATATATTCTAAGTCTTGTTTGCGCGAGCGCTCACAGAAAAAACTGATCGATTACGCCAATAGAATTAGAGTATCAGCGAGCGCAAACCTTACTTACTGTTCATTCACATTAGCTTGAAGGCTCTGAACAAAATTCCATCTGATAATTTTTTCGTCAGACGGTTCTTCGTCGGCAGATTTACCTTACCTTACCTTACGGTATACGGGTTGTGGGAGGCCAATTTGGCCTGTGGGGCCCGGTCTCAGCG